TAAACCAATATATCTTTTTAAAAAAGATTCCAAAAATTTTTCTTTTCAAAATATCTGATTCCGTAAAATCCCAAAGCAAGGACAGCACCAGCTCCCAGAGAGAACAGAGCTCCCCAGTCCCTGCAGTGCCCGCGGCCGCTCGGTCCCGCGCTCACCAGCAGGGCCCCCAGACCCCGGCCGCTCCATCGCCCTCACCTGTCGGAAGATGTAGCTTGCCAGGGGCTCGTCCAGGCTGGGGTGGTGGTCGATGAACGCGAAGAGGTCCAGGCCGGAGCCATGCTTCTCCATCACGAGCTGGAAAAACCCCTGGTTTTCAAACACATCCAGCACCTGCAAAGGGAAGGCCAGGTCCAGCCCTGCTGAAACGCGTCCCGGCCGCGGGGGTGGCTGCAAGCTGACAGGCGCGTGGCAGGGCACCCGGGGCGGGATCGTCCACCTTGATGATGTTGGCGTGCTCCACCTGGGACAGGATGGCAATCTCCAGAGTCACTCTTCCGAGTTTGGGGTCCTCGATCCAACAATCCTCCAAGACCTTCTCCTTCTTAATGAACTTCACCACCACCTGCGAGGGGAGCAGAGGGAAGACACAGCCGGGACTCCATCGTCTCGCGTCTCACGGCGCAGACAGGGACCTGGTGCAGCTCCTCGGCGCCCGGGATGCAGAAGGAGGAAGGCGACAAACTCCTGCAGCCCAAGGAGACAGCAGGATGGCAGCTGCCCCCGGGAAACATGGTTCCAGACACCGGACAGCGTGAGGGAGCAACCAGGGATGCAGGGAGCCTTGGGGCAGGTGCTCCCAGGAACACTCCCGGGCCACACCAAGGTATCAGGAAAGCACTGGAGATCCAGACCCAGAACAGCAAGGAGCCGGACAACCAGAAAAGGAGAAGCCACCATTCTTACAAGTGTCTCCAACCTTGATTCTGAGACTAACTGGAGAGTACAGGAGCGATGACAGAGAAAGATAAACATGAGAAAAAGTGTGCTAACAGCAGATGATAGGCAGTTACAGAGCATAACGGAAAAAAGATGCCACTCGACAAGGAAAACTGCAGGTCCCTGGACAATCTCCTGCTTCCCAGGAGGACGCTGCTGCTGAGTGGCCGCAGGGGTGGCCTGGCCACACACACACACACACACACACACACACACACAGGGTGGACTGCCCCCACCACATCCTAGTTAAAAAAAAAAAAAAAAAGGCTCAAGTTTATTTGAGAGGCAGACAAAGAGAAACCTCCCACCCCCAGATCCACTCCCCAAATGTCCACCATGGCCAAAGTTGAGCCCAGGTTGAAGCCAGGAGCTGGAAACTTAAAGCCAGGACTCCCAGATGGCTGGTAGGAACTCAGTTCCTGGAGGAACTGGGGCCAGGAGGTTGAGCCAGGAGCCAAACCCAGGCCCTATGATGCGGGATGGAGGTGTATTAGCTGCTAGGCTAAACACCCACTCCTCAACCTGGTAACATGTTTGAAGTACAAAGATAGAAAAATAGGGGCCGGCGCTATGGCTCACTTGGTTAATCCTCCGCCTGCGGCACTGGCATCCCATATGGGCGCCGGTTCCAGTCCCAGCTGCTCCTCTTCCAGTCCAGCTCTCTCCTGTGGCCCGGAAACGCAGTGGAGGATGGCCCAAGTGCTTGGGCCCCTGCACCCGCGTGGGAGACCAGGAGGAAGCACCTGGCTCCTGATCCGCGTAGTTCTGGCCATAGCAGCCATTTGGGGGGTGAACCAACAGAAGGAAGACCTTTTTGTCTCTCTCTCTCACTATCTAACTCTATCTGTCAAATAAATAAATAAATAAATAAAAACCAGAAAAACAATCCAGAAGGGGAAAAAAAAAAAAGGTCACATTTTGGCTTCAAGATAATGCTAGAATGTGGCTGGCGCTGTGGCGTAGCAGGTAAAGCCGCCTGCAGCGCCGGCACCCCATATGGGCGCCTGTTTGAGCCCCAGCTGCTCCACTTCCAATCCAGCTCTCTGCTATGGCCTGGGAAAGCAGTAGAAGATGGCGCAAGTCCTTGGGCCCCGGCACCCATGTGGGAGACCCGGAAGAAGCTCCTGGCTCCTGGCTTCAGGTCGGCCCAGCTCTGGCCATTGTACTCATTTGAGGTGTGGACCAGCAGATGGAAGATCTCTGTCTCTCTCTCTCTCTCTCTCTCTGTCTCTCCACCTCTCTCTCTAACTCTGCCTTTCAAATAAATAAACCTTTAAAATAAATAAATAAATGGAAAGACATCCTGTGTTCATGGATCAGAGGAGACACTGTTAAGATAGTGATACTCCCCAGGATGAGCCACCCATCCAAGTGTGGAAACAGATCCCAGAATTCTTATGGAAATGTAAAATAGTTTAAAAAAAAAAAACAGCTTGAAAAAGTCAAAACAGTCTTGAAAAAGAAAAACAGAGGCAGAGAGAGGCAGAGGACTAACATTTTTTGGCTTTATGAGTCACTGCAAAGCTGCAATAACCGCATCAGTCTGGTGCTGGCTGACAGGAACACAGACCAGTAGGACAGAGGGGCGGGCCCAGGAAACCCACACACCTGTGGGCAGCGAACTTAGCCAAGGCTGCCAGAGACCACCTGTGGGGAAAGTCTCCTTTGTAAATATGTATTTATGTCTTTGAAAGGCAGAGTTACAGAGAAGAGAGGGTGATACAGAGAGATCTTCCATCTGTTGGTTCACTCCCTAAATGGCTATGACAGCCAGCGCTAGGCCAAGCCGAAGCCAGGAGCTTCTTCCAGGTCTCCCACATGGGTGCAGGGGCCCAAGCACTTGGGCCATCTTCCACTGCTTTCCCAGGCGCATTAGCAGGGAGCTGTATCGGAAGCGGTGCAGCCAGGACTCAAACTGGCGCCCATATGGGAGGCAGGCAGCAGCTTTACACGCTATGCCACGACATTGGCCCCGAGAGTCCTCTTTTCAATAAACAGTGCTAAGGCAACCGGGCCCCAACCTCACACCAAACAAAAACTAAAGTCAACATAGATCTTGTCTGGTGGGAACTTCTCCCCCTGGGCGTGCTGGTGGCCGGGAGGTGCCAGCACACCACGTGGGCGGCTGCAGAGTGGCACAGGCCCTGTGCTCAGGAGGGGATGGGAGAGGCAGAGGGGGGTCTCAACACGCAGCTCCCGAGAGAGAGCTGGGAGTCTGACTGTACAGGCTTGTCTCCAGGGAAGCGCCCACAAGCCAGGCCCGGGCCCCTCCTTGTCCTGAGCCCGGGTTCTCAGGGCAGGGCGGGGCTGCATGCAGGGTACCTCCTTGTTCTGCTCCCTGTCCACTGCGGTCCACACGAAGCCGAAGGCGCCACTGCCCAGTGGGCTCAGGGTGCTGTACTTGTGGGCATACGCTCCCTCGCAGGCCGCCAGCCCCTCCAGCTCCATGGGCTTGGGGGGGTCCTCAAACCACGGCTTGGCCCGGAGCACCTGCAGATGCACAAGGTCTGAGGAACCATGGGGAAGCTCCCACCCGCTGCAGCCACGAGGCCTCCTTACCCCGGCAGGCGTGCAGCATGCAGACGCCATGCTGCCACGTCCACTCCTCTCATGCCCACGGGGACCCTACCGGAGAACCCCTTCCCCTGGGCACTCTGGGTGACTCCACACATGGACCTGGATGGGCACGTGTGTGGACCCGTGTTTCCACTCCAGCGTATGTGACTAAAGTCTTCTGTGTGGCCTTACACTCACTGGGAACCTCAGAAGACGGTGCCGAAAAGCCACAGGTGGTCTCCACTCCCACCCCAAGACACAGCCGGGGAACTCGCCACACAGTGCCAGGCAGACGCGAGGCATGCACCGACAGCGACACTAACCTCCCCCCGGCTGGGCCCGGGGAGCTCCGGCATGGAGTGCGTGGAGCTGGGCAAGCTGGCCAGCAGCAGGCGTGTCCTGGTGGCAGAGTCCTGGTGGCTGTGCAAGAGGTTCTTCACCAGCCAGCAGCAGAACAGGGTGGCAGAGCCTTGGAGCTCCACCCGCTTCACTTCAAACTGGATGCCTGAAGGGCCGGAGAGAAGACACGGCCGCTGGTTCTCTCCGACAACAATGTCACAGCTCAAAAGCCTGCACCCCACAACAGAAAGACAAGGCAGCCACGGGCGGAGACCACGCAGCACCCACGCTGGGAAAGGCGAGAACCACAGGCGGAGACCAGGCAGCACCCAAGCCGAGAGGTGAGAACCACGGGCAGAGCCGGTGGGGAAGCTCCGTCCCAGCACAGGGCAGCCCTCAGCAGAGCCCTGCAAACCATTCTAGCTCAGAGAGGCCCAGAAAGCCTGCCCTGGACACAGCCTACCTGCAGCAGGGCCTCTGCTTCCGGACAGGAGACAGGGGCGCGAGTGGCTTCAGCTGGAGCCCAGACAGCTGCCTGCCAGTCACGTGCAGCCACAGAAGCACCCACGTGGGAAGACACAGCGGCACAGCCTCCTGTGCGTGCACCCAAGCAAGGGTGCTCACTGCCTACTGCTTCTTCCACAAGTGAGAGGTGCCGTACATAATTTTAAGTTTTTATACCATGCAGAAACAACTGACGGGGCTGGCTCTGTGGCACAGCCGGTGACACCAGCATCCCACACCGGAGTGCCAGTTCAAGCCTCGGCCACTCCACTTCAGAGCCACCTCCATTCTAATGTCAGGAAAGCAGTGGATGATGGCCCAAGTACCTGGGCCCCTGCTACCCCTATGGGAGGCCTGGTGGAGTTCCTGGCTCCTGACCCGGCTCTGGCTGTGGCGGCCACTTGGTGAGTAGACCAGTGGATGAAAGATGTCTCTCTCTTTCTCTGTCTCCCTCTGTATTAGTTTGCCTTTAAAACAGACAAATCCACCTTAAAGGAAGGAGGGATGAGTGAATGAATCGGCTAATAGATCGTGGTCCAACATGTACCAGGAAAATAAATCACAAGTAAAACAAACAGAATCATCCAGACCCGAAGAGCCTGGCAGGAGGGGAGGTGGCAGCCTGGTCAGAGCTCCCAGGCACAGCCCTGCCGCGCCCACACCCTCCCGGCCCCTCGGTGCGGCCCCAGCACCGTGCTCCGCCACCCTGCCCCGGCTGGGCCCAGTGGACTCCCCTGAGGCGGGCGCTGGCACCAGGGAGGTGTGGGAACCCTGGGCTCCACCCCCTCCAAGCACACACATTTGTAATCGTGGGGTCCAACAGGCAGGCGATGGCAGCACCTGGCAGCACTTCTGGTTATCCTTTAGCCCTTTGTTCCTGCCCCACTGTTTAGGGGTGAAAGGACCAGGAAGTCCTTGCCCCGCCCTGGCAGCACTGGCTTTGGGGATGGGACGCCCCCCACGCCAGGCCTGGACATACTCAGCCGCAAACCGTCCCGGTGGTAGCAGCTCCCTGAATAGGTGCCCTCCTGGATCTGCCGCCCCAGGCTGGCGGCGCCCGGCGTCACAGGTGTGGAGGTGACCTGGGCACTTGGCCTCGACTCCTCTGCTGCTGGCTGCGCCTCCTCAGAGCTGGCATCTGACGTGGGAAGGAGGCAGCTGGGGCCTTCGCTGTCGCTCACTTCGAAGTGCTCAGAGGACACCAGAGAGACCTCCGAGGGCTCTGTCCGGCGGCTCTCCTGGAACCGCCGGCCCTCGCCAAGCCTAAAGCACGTGCCAGCCAGCAGCAACAGCTCCCTGGCGTCCACATCGGACCCCTGCCTGGAGAGGCCGCCCACGTCCGAGTCGGAGCCCCCTGCAGAGGGGCAGGGGGTCTCCGTGGGCTCGGACACAGCACAGGAACAATGTGATGAAGTTCGGTCCATCTGGTCACTGAAGAAGGCTTCCTTGAGGTTCCAGGAGTAGGAATGCACGCCGGGCTCCGGGGCCTCCACAGGCTCCAGGACACCCGGCAGGTCCGTGGCTAGGGCGTAGCGGGCCGAGGAGCTGTCCGCACGGCCGTGCATGTCCCTGCCTCTCAGACTGCAGCGGGACACGGGCAGGGGGACGGCCAGGCGCTCCCTGGGCATGAGCTCGATGTAGGAGACGTCTGGGGCTCCTGCAAAGCTGGGTGGGCACAGCTGCTCCTTAATTAGGCAGGCCTGCAGCTCCTCCCGGTCGTCTTTCACCCCCTGCCACGGCTCATCCTGTGTGGGCGTCCCAAGAGACACACTCGTCATTCCTGGGGGCCTGGGGGCCGAGTCCTGGCTGGGCTTATGCAGGGCCCACTCGCTCATGAACCGAGGCTGGTGTGCGGGGAGAGCGCCCTCTGCTGGCTGCCCCACAGCACGGGGCTCAGGCCTGGTGACATCCACCAAGGAGTTAGGACTGCCAGGACTACCAGGACCCCCGAGACCCCCGGGGTCCCGTGGGACTTCCCGAGGCGGGCCACACATGACGTCGCTGCTCCACCGCTGGGCTGCAAGCGCAGTTTCAGAGTCTTCACAGGCTGCGGCCGGCTTTGCGTCTGCTGGCTCTGAGCTGCTCTCTGGCAGAAGGGCCTCTGCGGGGCTCTCTGGTGCTGCAGGCTCCTCCCTCCCCACGGCAGGGGACGGATCACCAGGGCCTGGTGGGCTTCCTTCTTGGATATTTGGCTGGTCCTTGGGCAGCAGCTGTTCACCAGGGCCTGGTGGGCTTTCCCCTGGGATGCTTTGCTGGTTCTCGGGCAATGGCTGTTTACCAGCGTCCGGTGGGCTTTCTTGGGTGCTTTGCTCGTCTGTGGACAATGACCGCGCGGCAGGGGCCGGCAGCCTATCTGTTGGCATGCTGTCCTCTCTGGGCACAGCAGCATGGATGACATGGTCACAGAGAGGCAAGAGAAATGATTACGTCAGGATGCATTCTCCTACTAGAGAGAAGCTCAAAGCATTTAATACAACAAACCGAACACAAGGAGGAGTAAATTCTGTAACCAAGGAACACAAAAGCAGCCGTTCTCATGCCCCAGACACATCCACAGTCAGCAGGGATTGACAGGGCAGGGTTCGCCTGGCTGTTGACGCCGGGTGAAGATGTCGGGACCCCACACGGCAGAGCGGAACTCGGTTCCTGCTCGGGCTCGACAGCAGCTTCCTGCTGGTACAGACCCTGGGAGGCCGCGGGGACGGCCCCAGCGGTTGGGTTCCGGCCACGCACACGGGAGACCTGGGCGGAGTCCTCAGCTCCCAGCTTCAGCTTGGCCCAGCCTCAGCTCTCGAAGCATGTGGGGAGCAGAGCAGCAGAGGGGAGGCCCCTCCCCCACCTCCCCCACCCCTTCACTCCTTCTTCTGTCTCTCCTTCTCAAAGAGCTTTTAAAAAATAAAAGATTTATTTATTTACTTCAAAGTCAGAGTTACACAGAGAGAGAAGGAGAAGTAGAGAGAGAGAGAGAGAGAGAGAAAGGTCTTCCGTCCACTGGCTCACTCCCCAATTGGCCGCAACGGCTGGAGCTGTGCCGAACCAAAGCCGGGAGCCAGGAGCTTCCTCTGGGTCTCCCACACGGGTGCAGAGGCTCAAGGACTTGGGCCATCTTCTGCTGCTTTCCCAGGCCACAGCAGAGAGCTGGATCGGAAGCGGAACAGCTGGGACTCGAACTGGCGCCCATATGGGATGCCAGCACTGTAGGCAGCGGCTTTACCTGTTAATGCCACAGCGCCAGCCCCCAAACAGCTTTCTTTTTTTAAAAGATTTATTTTATTTATCTGAAAGACAGAGTTACAGAGAGAGAGGTCTTCCATCCGCTGGTTCACTCCCCAGATGGCCCCAACAGCCAGAGCTGCGCTGATCCGAAGCCAGGAGCCAAGAGCTTCTTCCGGGTCTCCCATGAGGGTGCAGGGGCCTAAGGACTTGGGCTACCTTCTACTGCTTTCCCAGGCCATAGCAGAGAGCTGGACTGGAAGTGGAGCAGCCAGGACTAGAACCAACACCCATATGGGATGCCGGCACTTCAGGCCAGTGCTTTAATCCACTGTGCCACAGTGCTGGCCTCCGCCCTCCCCTCTCTCCCACCTCAAACAGCTCTTAAAACAAAATGCTACTGGGGCCACCATTGTGGTGTAGCAGGTAAAGCCATCGCCTTTGATGCCGACATCCCATACGGGCCCTGGTTCAAGTCCCAGCTGCTCCAGATCCAGCTCCCTGCCAATGCGCCTGGGGAAGTAGGTGAAGAGGGCCCCAAGTGTTTGGACCCCTGCATCCATATGGAAGAACCAGAAGAAGCTCCTGGCTTCGGTCTGACCCAACCCTGGCCACTGTGGCCATCTGGGGAATGAATCAGTGGGTGGGTCTCTCTCTCTCTCTTTCTCTCTCTCTCTCTCTCTTTCTCTCTCTCTACCTCCTCTCTCCCCTCTCTCTCTCTCTCAGTCTCCCTCTCCTTCTCTCTCAGTTGTTCATTCTTTCAAATAAATTTCTTTAAAAAAACAAGAATAGTGTAAAATAAAAAGGAAAGATCTTCACAGGACAACATGCACAGTGTAATCTCAGCTGAGTTAAAGTGACACAGGAGCAGACCCGTTCGCAGGTGCACACACACACACTCACACACACACTCACGCTCACACATTTAATGTGCAAGAAAACCCGGCGGCCCCTGGAGGAAAGCCCGGATTGCAGGGACTGGGAAGTGGGCGACGGGCTTCTGCTCTTTGCCATAACCATGTAGAATGTACTTTTAAATAATTTCCATTTGGTTGGAAAGCACACAGTATGGGTAATCTCAGATAAAACGAATACAGGCAGACGAAGGGAATGCACAGGCCCCTCCGACCTACACCTCGACCTCAGGGCAGGGATGGACAGAGCGGGATGGTGCTCCAGCAGCGCTTCTGGGGAGAGCAGAGAAAGAACCGCAGGTTGTGATGTACCTGAGGTTTGGGCACTTTGCTGCCTGCTGTTCATAAAAAACATCTTTAAAGGAAGACTGGTTCAAAGCGCCCAGGATGCACAGCAGGGCCGGGACCCCAAGCCACTGAGTATCTTATTTCCACTTTTCTGACTTGGCTGCACTGTCCAACATGTGGCACAAATGTAGCACACAAACGCTTCTCGGAGTGATAAAGCAGGCCTGGATCAGCTCTCTGAAATCCACCTTAACTCTCCTGAACTCTCCACAGCCACTGCCACACCTGAAACAGGGTGAGAAGATCCCAGTCCTCCTGGAAGGCTGCGGGGACATGGCCAGGTGACCAGGGGAGGCTCGCCACTGTCACTGCGCAGACTCAGCAGGTGCAGGCTGCACACTCAGTATGTCACTGTCCCTGTCCCCTCCATACACCCTCAGGGGGCGCACACAGCACTGTCACTCTCACTGTCCCCTCCATACACCCTCAGGGGGTGCACACAGCACTGTCACTCTCACTGTCCCCTCCATACACCCTCAGGGGGCGCACACAGTACTCTCACTGTCCCCTCCATACACCCTCAGGGGGCACACACAGTACTCTCACTGTCCCCTCCATACACCCTCAGGGGGCGCACACAGCACTGTCACTGTCCCTGTCCCCTCCACACACCCTCAGGGGGCACACACAGTACTCTCACTGTCACTGTCCCCTCCACACACCCTCAGGGGGCACACACAGTACTCTCACTGTCCCCTCCATACACCCTCAGGGGCACACACAGTACTGTCCCTGTTCCCTCCATACACCCTCAGGGGGCACACACAGTACTCTCACTGTCACTGTCCCCTCCATACACCCTCAGGGGGCGCACACAGCACTGTCACTGTCCCTGTCCCCTCCATACACCCTCAGGGGCACACACAGTACTGTCACTCTCACTGTCCCCTCCATACACACTCAGGGGGCACAACAGTACTGTCACTCTCACTGTCCCCTCCATACACCCTCAGGGGCACACACAGTACTGTCACTGTCACTGTCCCCTCCATACACCCTCAGGGGGCACACACAGTACTGTCCCTGTCCCCTCCATACACCCTCAGGGGCACACACAGTACTGTCACTGTCCCTGTCCCCTCCACACACCCTCAGGGGGCACACAGAAGTACTGTCACTGTCACTGTCTCCTCCATACACCCTCAGGGGCACACACAGTACTGTCACTGTCACTGTCCCCTCCACACACCCTCAGGGGGCACACACAGTACTGTCCCTGTCCCCTCCATACACCCTCAGGGGCACACACAGTACTGTCACTGTCACTCTCCCCTCCACACACCCTCAGGGGCACACACAGTACTGTCACTGTCACTGTCCCCTCCATACACCCTCAGGGGCACACACAGTACTGTCACTGTCACTCTCCCCTCCACACACCCTCAGGGGCACACACAGTACTGTCACTGTCCCCTCCATACACCCTCAGGGGCACACACAGTACTGTCACTGTCACTCTCCCCTCCACACACCCTCAGGGGCACACACAGTACTCTCACTGTCCCTGTCCCCTCCACACACCCTCAGGGGGCACACACAGTACTGTCCCTGTCCCCTCCATACACCCTCAGGGGGCACACACAGTACTGTCCCTGTCCCCTCCATACACCCTCAGGGGGCACACACAGTACTCTCACTGTCACTGTCCCCTCCATACACCCTCAGGGGGCGCACACAGCACTGTCACTGTCCCTGTCCCCTCCATACACCCTCAGGGGCACACACAGTACTGTCACTCTCACTGTCCCCTCCATACACACTCAGGGGGCACAACAGTACTGTCACTCTCACTGTCCCCTCCATACACCCTCAGGGGCACACACAGTACTGTCCCTGTCACTGTCCCCTCCACACACCCTCAGGGGCACACACAGTACTGTCCCTGTCACTGTCCCCTCCACACACCCTCAGGGGCACACACAGTACTCTCACTGTCACTGTCCCCTCCACACACCCTCAGGGGCACACACAGTACTTCTCTGTCCCCTCCATACACCCTCAGGGGCACACACAGTACTGTCACTGTCACTGTCCCCTCCATACACCCTCAGGGGCACATACAGTACTTCTCTGTCCCCTCAGCACTCACGCCAGGTGCCCTCCCACCTGCCTCCACTTATGAGGCTGCAGCCTTCCAGGCAGGGACTTACCCAGGAGGTGGCTGAGGTGGCAGCGAGGGCAGGAGCTTGCCTCCAACGTCCAGCGGGGCCTGAGTCTCAGGAGAGCCATCCTGGCTGTCTCCCAGACTCAGGGTCTCATCTGGGGGCAGAACGTGGCTGCCAGCTGTTGCGACATAAACTCTCGGATCTAGCAACAACATCAAGAAAGTGTTCTCTATGCAGGGGTCCGTGCTTCTGAGAGGCACCTCCCAGAGCGATGCCGGGAAATCTCCACTGGCCATGGCCCTCTGGGCTCATGGGGTCCAGGAGAGACCCAGCAGTGCCCAGCCACGTCCTCAAGGCACCGGCTTCTGACGGGCCTTCATTTTCTGCAAGCTGCTGTCACTCTCTCACTGTCGTCTTGTCTCGTTCCCTGTCTCTTCTCATGGGAGAGAGCAGAGACCATGGCTGACACACCTACCTCAGCAGGCTCCAGCAAGGCCCAGGGATTCCGGGCAGGCAGAAGTTGGCCACACAGGCCAGGAGCCCCTCCAGGGCAGGGCTGGGGTGCACCTCCCCCCAGCGGACCCTCCCCAGAGCTCAGGCACTGGCTTTGCTCTTCCAGTGCCCTCAGCCAGGGTGGGTCCAACAGCATGGGAAGCTGGGCGCTTCACAGTTAAGGCTGACCACCAACAGGGGCTTGGGAGGACTTTCAGAAAGGACCTAAAATGTCACAGCCAACTTGAGGGTCTGTTCACGGTCGCAACAAACCAGATGCTTCGTCAGTGTGGTCTGAAGCCGGGGGAAGCCACACACAAGACTGTCAACCACTGACTGTTTCCAGCTACAGCAGCCAGTGACGCTGCCTCGGAACCTTCTGTTCCTCTTCTCACTGCTGTGACACACATGCCACGTCCCCCAGGACAGGTCAGTGGGGACAGACAGGAGCACCAGACAGGAGGCAGCCGCCTGCAGGCTCTGTTCTCTCCCCGGCCTGAGCCTCTGCAGGGGTCGTCCATGGCTTTGGCTCCTTCCGGCCCCATGGAGGACACAGTTGTGGAGCTGGGTGGCCACGGGTGAACCTGGAGAAAGAGGCCATGTCTCACCCTGAGCTCCATTGGCTGGGTCCCAGGCTGGCCAGGGGTCCAAGGGCGCCTCCCCAGGTCCACGGTCGCTGCTCATGTCCAGGCACTTGGCCAGGTCTGGCAGCTGCACAGAGCTGTCATCGGCAAGGTCCATGTACTGGTAGAAGCCAGGGATCAGGAAAGTGATGTTCTGGAACACAAAGCAGCCCCACTTCAGGCTCCGGGAAGGTCCACACTGACTCCCACCCCACCCTCCCGGGGAGAGCAGGCATGCCGCGAGCCAGGCTCTCCACGGCTCATCCCTCTGTGACTGGCCTGAGGCCCCTCTGGCACTCAACACACAATCCATGATTTTTTAACATACTCTGAGGTGACTTACACCAACATGGACGCATCTTCCAGTATGTGGCCGCTGACCCACATCTAGCCTGGGAGCCTGCAAATGTCACCTGACACAGCTCACTGTGTGGCCCACGGTGGACAGGAATGGTGCCTGCACCCATCAGGGGCCCCAGCGCCTCCCAGCCCAGGAGCTGCCCAAAGGACGCTGTCTGAGCCAGTGTGGACCTAGGCCTGCGCAGCCCCCTGTGGCCACGGGAACTGGGTGAGGGTGGGAGGGAGCACACTTAGGAGTCCCTGAAAAGATGCAGAGCCAGTTCAGCGGATGAGCCCATGAGCAGAGGGCCCTGGAGGGTGCCACCCAAGTCATACCTCTAGAGGACCGATACGTGACCAAAACACAATTCTGGTTGTTTCCAGCACGGCGTGCGGGGTTTGCGTGTGGTAACAGCTAACGGAATGGCTCACACGGTGCTGGCTAAGCAAGCAAAGGGCATTCCAAGCACGGACAGCCTGACTCTGAGGTGTGAAGACTGAAGCAGCACCCACCCAAGGAGGGGCGGTACCACGCTGGCCACACAGCACGCCAGGGACTGCAGACAGGAACCTCGCTGGGTCCCGGGGGCTTTCCTGGCAGGCGCTCCTGTCCCTCCCCTGGGGGGCACCAACGTGTGTGCAGAGCACAGAGCCCCACCTTGCCCAGGAGCTCAGCCTTCCCATAACCGAACAGCATGAGGGCGAAGCTGTGGTTGATGCCGTAGATGCTGCCATCCGGCTGCAGGGTGATGAGGCCGCTGATGGTGCAGAAGACCCAGACAGAAGCCAAGAAACCTCGCGCGGGGGCCGCGGTGCCCTCGTCTACTGCCTCGCTGGGGGCTTCCGACTTCAGCTTCAGACTCAGAGGGAAGGTGGTGCCGTCTCTGGCTCTGCCAACAGATCTCTGAATCTTGAGATTCTGAGAGAAAGGAACACTGCTGAGCTGCGGCAGCAAGGCCCTGCTGCCCGCTCTAGTCCCGCCCCACGCGACTGTCACGGCGACACGCAAGGACATCTCTTACCCATGAGCTACGGCAGCAAGGCCCTGCTGCCCGCTCTAGTCCCGCCCCACGCGACTGTCACGGCGACACGCAAGGACATCTCTTAGCCATGAGCTACGGCAGCAAGGCCCTGCTGCCCGCTCTGAGTCCCGCCCCACGCGACTGTCACGGCGACACGCAAGGACATCTCTTAGCCATGAGCTACGGCAGCAAGGCCCTGCTGCCCGCTCTGAGTCCCACTCCACGCGTCTGTCACGGCGACGCACAAGGACATCTCAAACCCACACTGCTTCCAGACTCAGCGTCCAGAGAGGCCCCGAGCGCAGTGCGCACGCGGGTTCTGGAGACACAGGTACGGGAGGGACTGGGGGCATCTGCGCTGTCCCTGCTCAGGTCCGCGGCATGCTGGCCTCCACAGGCTGCACCCCCTGGCTCCTCAGAGAGAGGAAAGAGCACATCTCTTGGCCTTGGGGTCCCCACGGCCCCCGAGCAAGTGGCCCCAGGCCCTTACCCACTCCCGTCCCGCCAGCTTTGGGGCGGTGGCTTGTGACCTCCGGGTGGCCACTTGCCTTCCCACCACACGGCAGAGTCCCCGCGTGGTGTGATCTGCTGCAACTGCACGGAGGGAAATCCAGCAGGACCCTCCCCAGGCCTCTGCCCACACTGCTCACCTGCGGGTTCAGCCCCACACGACGTGGGAGCCGCGGAGCCCTGCGGGAAGCTGGCAGCCTGCAGCCCAGCCCAGAACCCAGGGACTTCCCCAGCGCCGCGCCTGGCTGCAGTCAAATCCGGAGCCCAGGCTCTCCAGAAAAGGTGTAAGCCACGGCCAGCTACCCTGAACAGCACTGAGGGCCAGGCCCCTTTCTGCTGGCTCCATCTGCTTCCCAGGTGAGCCAGCTCCTAGGACAACCCCCAGGGTACACGCCCCTCATGTCATGTGGTACACTCGTGTGCAGATGCACACCTGGCAGAGGGAACGCACCATCTCATGACATGCAGAACATGTGCGCAGACACACACCTGGCCCAGGGAACAGCCACCTCACATCTCATGATATGCGGGTCTGCAGACACATGCCCCTCACATGATGTAGTACACATGTGTGCAGACACAGGCCTGGCCCAGGGGCCACGCCCCCTCAGAGAGGTGGTACACATGTGTGCAGACACAGGTCTAGCCCAGGGGACACACCTCCTCATGTGATATGGTACACATGTGTGCGGACACAGGTCTGGCCCGGGGGACACACCCCCTCAGTGAGGTGGTACACACGTGTGCAGACACAGGCCTGGCCCAGGGGACACGCCCCCTCAGTGAGGTGGTACACACGTGTGCAGACACAGGTCTGGCCTGGGGACACACCTCCTCATGTGATGTGGTACACATTTGTGCAGACACAGGTCTGGCCCAGGGGACATGCCCCCTCAGTGAGGTGGTACACATGTGTGCAGACACAGGTCTGGCCCAGGGGACACGCCCCCTCAGTGAGGTGGTACACATTTGTGCAGACACAGGTCTGGCCCGGGGTACACACCCCCTCAGAGAGGTGGTACACATGTCAGACACAGGTCTGGCCCAGGGGACACGCCCCCTCAGTGAGGTGGTACACACGTGTGCAGACACAGGTCTGGCCTGGGAACACACCTCCTCATGTGATGTGGTACACATTTGTGCAGACACAGGTCTGGCCCAGGGGACACGCCCCCTCAGTGAGGTGGTACACATTTGTGCAGACACAGGTCTGGCCCAGGGGACACGCCCCCTCAGTGAGGTGGTACACATTTGTGCAGACACAGGTCTGGCCCAGGGGACACGCCCCCTCAGTGAGGTGGCACACACGTGTGCAGACACAGGCCTGGCCCAGGGGACACGCCCCCTCATGTGATGTGGTACACATGTGTGCAGACACAGGTCTGGCCCGGGGGACACGCCCCCTCAGTGAGGTGGTACACATTTGTGCAGACACAGGTCTGGCCCGGGGTACACACCCCCTCAGAGAGGTGGTACACATGTCAGACACAGGCCTGGCCCAGGGGACACGCCCCCTCAGTGAGGTGGTACACACGTGTGCAGACACAGGTCTGGCCTGGGAACACACCTCCTCATGTGATGTGGTACACATTTGTGCAGACACAGGTCTGGCCCAGGGGACATGCCCCCTCAGTGAGGTGGTACACATTTGTGCAGACACAGGTCTGGCCCGGGGTACACACCCCCTCAGAGAGGTGGTACACATGTCAGACACAGGCCTGGCCCAGGGGACACGCCCCCTCAGTGAGGTGGTACACACGTGTGCAGACACAGGTCTGGCCTGGGAACACACCTCCTCATGTGATGTGGTACACATTTGTGCAGACACAGGTCTGGCCCAGGGGACACGCCCCCTCAGTGAGGTGGCACACACGTGTGCAGACACAGGTCTGGCCCAGGGGACACGCCCCCTCAGTGAGGTGGCACACACGTGTGCAGACACAGGTCTGGCCCAGGGGACACGCCCCCTCAGTGAGGTGGCACACACGTGTGCAGACACAGGCCTGGGGTGGGCCTTGCTTATGCTCTGACCCAGCAGGTGACCACAGGCCCCCTCAGGGGTGGGGCTGCTGTGAGGCTCTGATGGCTGCCACTTCAGAGAAGTTCAGGACACAGAGGGACAAAGGTGGGTGCGGGGAGCTGTCACCAACAGGGCTAAACCGCGTCAGATGGCAAAAGACAAGCTCAGAGCCCAGACCTGAGTGTCTCTCTGGGTGGCCTGAGAGGAAAGAGCTGACCTAGACAAGATGACCTGACAAGGCTCCTCCCACAGGGGTGGGGATGGGACGTAAGCTGAAATCTTGGCCATCAGGTCCCCTGTGTGAAGGCCACAATGGGAGACGGGGCACCCAGAGCACCTGGGGAGGAGACGGGGACACTTGGGGGCTACAGGGAAACCTGGGGGAGACAGGAGCACGCGGGGGGATGGGGACACTTGGGGGAGACAGGAGCACTTGGGGGAGACGGGGACACCTGGGGGAGACGGGGACACCTGGGGGAGATGGGGACACCTGGGGGAGACAGGAGAACCTGGGGGGGACGGGGACACCTGGGGAGGACGGGGACACCTGGGGGTTACAGGGAAACCTGGGGGAGACAGGAGCACCCGGGGGGATGGGGACACTTGGGGGAGACAGGAGCACCTGGGGGTTACAGGGAAACCTGGGGGAGTCGGGGACACCTGGGGGAGTCGGGGACACCTGGGGGAGATGGGGACACCTGGGGGGGACGGGGACACCTGGGGGAGACAGGAGAACCTGGGGGGGACGGGGACACCTGGGGGAGTCGGGGACACCTGGGGGAGATGGGGACACCTGGGGGGGACGGGGACACCTGGGGAGGACGGGGACACCTGGGGGAGACAGGAGCACCTGGGGGGGATGGGGACACCTGGGGGAGACAGGAGCACCTGGGGGGGACGGGGACACCTGGGGGGGATGGGGACACCTGGGGGTAGATGGGGACACCTGGGGGAGATGGGGACACCTGGGGGGGACAGGGACACCTGTTGAAGATGGGCACACCTAGGGGTAGATGGGGACACCTGGGGGTAGATAGGGACACCTGGGGGGGACGGGGACACCTAGGGGGGACAAGGACACCTGGGGGGGACGGGGACACCTGGGGAGGACGGGGACACCTGGGGGGGACGGGGACACCTGGGGGTAGATGGGGACACCTGGGGGAGATGGGGACACCTGGGGGAGATGGGGACATCTGGGGGAGATGGGGACACCTGGGGGGGACAGGGACACCTGGGGGGGACGGGGACACCTGGGGGGGACGGGGACACCTGGGGGAGATGGGGACATCTGGGGGAGATGGGGACATCTGGGGGGGACAGGGACACCTGTTGAAGATGGGCACACCTGGGGGTAGATGGGGACACCTGGGGGGGGACGGGGACACCTGGGGGGGGCGGGGACACCTGGGGGTAGATGGGGTCACCTGGGGGGATTCAATCACTAACAGCCTCAGCCTGCACCCTAGACCACCTCCCCCTGCAGCTGCCCACCCTCCTGCCCAGCACAGCTGTCCCTCCTGAGGGACAGCCTGCCCATCATTCCTCCCTGCCCCCAGTATAGAGACCCCAGCAGAGGACCGAGGGCACCAGGGTGGTCAGCTGGGGCACCACACGGGCTCTGCTCAGAGAGATCGGGTCAGAGCACTCCCACCTCAGGATGCTCCTGGGGTCGGGGGCCCTTGGCCTGCTCCTCAGCTGTGGATTTGCACTGAAAACATGACACCACCACGGGTTCAGCCACCAGGGTCCTACCTTTGGGACTTGCTGGCCGGGTGGAGGGAGCTGCACGGACGGAATCAGGTCTGTGATGCGCTGCCCGACCACTTCCTCTGCAGACACAAACCCGTGGAGGTGGGCAAAGAGGCGGTCACAGGCTGTGATGGTTCCCTGGAGAGAAGCCAGGGCTTGAGCATGCAGCAGAGGTCTTGGTACCCCGCTCTACCCACACGGAACCACACACCTCCAGCCAAAACCAAGTCACTCGCACGTGCCAGAGGCGCGCGCACAAGTCTCCGCACATGAGTGTCCCCACACAGCCCGCTCCTCCGGCCAGGGCTCTCCTGAGGCCCGGCCCCTGCAGGCCCATCCCGAGGATGCGGCAGCAGCACCTGAGCACGGCACTGTCCCAGCACCACCTCTCCTGGGCTCTGTGCACTTTTTGTTGAAACAGTCCAGGTTCACGGGTGGGGACACCGAGGCAGGGGAGAGTAGGTTCTTTTCCCGAGCACATCCCGGCCAGAGCCGCCCCTGGACGCCTCACTCTTCCCGAAGGCGCAGATGGGGACAGCACTGGCAAGGTGTGGGCAGGGGCGGGGGGCATGGGGTTCCACATGTGTCACACACAGCGAAACCACAGGCGGCCAAGACACACCCAGACTCACATCGCTCTGGAAGGAGACCCAGGCTGAGACCCTCTCCACGGGCTCCAGGACCACCACGCAGCACAGGCTGTGCTCCTGCCGCACCTTCTTCATCCACACGGAGACGGCGATCTTCTCGCCGCCACGGCTGACGATGTCCACCTGTGACACAGGCAGGCTGGCACCGGCTCCCAGGGAGGGCGTCCCAGGCTCCAGCACTGTGACGCTGTCGGCCTGTGCTCACCTGCCTCCCTGCAAAACTACCCAGACACAAACAAGGACTCTGATACGAAGGTACAGCCTCGAGCAGATGTCTTACAAAGGGAGTGGACTTTTCTCGTCCTTAGCTGCATGGTAACATCGTGGGAGAAAGAAGCAGTACCCATTATTCCTCTTTCCTTTTTTTTTTTTTTTTTAAAGATTTATTTACTAATTGAAAGGCAGAGGGACATAGAGAGACAGAGAGATCTTCCACCCACTGATTCACTCCCCCAAATGCCCACAACAGTCATTGCTGGGCCAGGCTGAAGCCGGAAGCCAGGAGCTCCAACTAAGTCTCCCTCATGGGTGGCAGGAGCCCAAGCACTTGGACCGGCACCACTGCCTCCCAAGCACATCTGCAGGAGGCTGGATCAGAGCGTGGCGTAGCCAGGACCCAACCCAGGCACTGCGGTGGATCGCAGGCATCCCTGCTGTGCCACAAAGCCTGCCCATCATCGTTTCTTAAAGAAACAGATACCAGTACATGCCAAACATCTGAACCAGGAATTTTCTGATGCAACTGGTCCTAAGGTCCTTTCACGCCATGAGCCAGCCCTGCACATATGGCGCAGTGCCCAGCAATGGGTGGGCAGAGCAGGTCACACACCAGCGGCCCTCACATGGAACAAACAATGTGTAGCCTCACTGTGACATCAGTGAGGACAGCGACACTGTCTCATCTCTCAGAGCCTCCTGGCCTGCACAACACCGGCAAAGAAAGCGAGGGCTCTGAGACACGCACGGTGCCTCCCTGACCCCATCCCAGCTGAGGCAGGAAACTGTTCCTGTTTCAGTGCAGGGCGCTACAGCTGCGGGCGCCCCTGACCCCTGGGTACAGCTCAAAGCCGGCCCCCATACGGCTCTGGCCGTCACCTCCACTCACCACGGTGCCAAATACCACTGCAACACGGCCATCTGCCTCCACGTGTTCCTCACTGAGAGCCTCGACCACGTGGGAATCCGACTTCAGGAAGAACTGTGTGAGCTTCTGGCCAATCAGGTCATGGCTGCTGTACCCCAGGAGGCTGCAAGCTTTATCGTTGGCCACCAGGATCTGAGGAGATGCAAAGCGGGGACACAAAAGTCACAAACTCCTGAACACAGCTGAGCAGAGCCTGACACAGGGACCTGGCTTCCGCAGTATGTACCAGCATCCCACACCCCCTGACTCCACGCCCCAAGGCTCACACCAAAGCTCTCATGGCCTTGGGGACCACACCTTGGTGGTGGTAGAGACGGCGGGAAGGGGGAAAGATGGAAACAGGTCACAGCTGACCATACCCATCAACTTCCCCAGCAGAAATGGCCACCAGACACCAAGGTGGCGAGGACAGCAGGAACTGGACCTCGCTCCCTCCCGTCCCAGGGGCTCGGAGGTGTGCGGCACAGGTGGCGAGGACAGCAGGAACTGGACCTCGCTCCCTCCCGTCCCAGGGGCTCGGAGGTGTGCGGCACAGGTGGCGAGGACAGCAGGAACTGGACCTCGCTCCCTCCAGTCCCAGGGGCTCGGAGGTGTGTGGCACAGGTGACGAGGACAGCAGGAACTGGACCTCGCTCTCTCCCATCCCAGGGGCTCGGAGGTGTGCGGCACAGGTGGCGAGGACAGCAGGAACTGGACCTCGCTCCCTCCCGTCCCAGGGGCTCGGAGGTGTGCGGCGCAGGCGCGTTCTGCAGGTGTTTAAGCGTTGGAATCCCTCCTGAATCAGCTGCGCACTCTAGCAGGCATGTCGAACAACGCCCTTCACCCTCTGCTTCCATCTCCACCTCCAAAGGGGATTCTCCAAGCCTTTATCCCTCTCGCTACTAAACCCGTATAACCAAGCGCGTCTCTAACGGCACCTAAGACGCACACGTCACGCTGTGTCAGCTCCCAGGACCCAGGCCTGCTCCTACAGTTGGGGCTCAAAGCAAACGAGCAAGCACCTCTGTGGTCTTGGCGTCCACGGTGAAGACGGCCTTGTTGGGGTTGCTCACGGGGGTGGGCAGCAGGGGCGTGGGCCAACCGGCAGAGAAGCCGCGCAGCAGGGAGCAGCAGGACGCGCTGCTGCAGGAGCCCAGCCGGTCGGCATGCTCGGGCGTCGGCGGGCAGTACAGTCGGCTGGTGCAGATGTTCTGAGCAGCCAGTGACGACAGGCAGTAGGAGCTCCACCTGTCCTCTGCAGGGAGAGGAGAGGTGCTCACTGCCCAGACCCGCAGAGCCCGCAGGGCCCAGGGACCCAGCTACCTGCAGGGCTGCTGCCCCCCTGTATCCAAACCCTGTCCCCAGGAATCCACTCACAGCCTTCCAAGGCTCGGGAGCCACACGGGGCAACGTCCTCTCAGAGCCTCACGCAGAGAGACCCCAGGGGTCTGCATCAGTTCCAGGCCCCACCCCAAGCAGGAGCTCTGGCTCACAAATGTTCCCTCTTGGGGCCGGCGCTGTGGCACAGCAGGCTAAGCTGCTGCTTGTGAGGCCAACATGCCACACGAACACCAGTTCAGGTCCCAGCTGCTCTGCTTCAGATCCAGCTCCCTGCTAATGAGCCTGGGAAAGCAGTGGGAAATGCCCATGTGCTTGGGACCCTGCACCCACACGGGAAACCTGGGTGGAGTTCCTGGCTCCTGGCTTCAGCCCGGCCCAGTCACGGCCATCGCAGCCACCTGGGAGTGAACAAATGGATAGATGATATCTGTCTCTGTCTCTCTCCCTCCATCCCTCTAACTTTGCCTTTCAAATAAATCTTAAAAAAAAAAAAAAAAAAAAAAAAAAGTCCCCTCTCTCCTGCTTCAGTCACTCCGAGAACCTTGTCCCTAGAAAGGATCTCACAATTCAGGGGCCACTGCAGGCCACCCCTCCTCACCTCAGCCCTGTAGGTGCTCGGCTCAGGACGTCCGCCCCGCCTTCCCCTCCCACCCCTCCCTGGCTGCAGATGCCGCGACTCCGGCAGGGACACCTCCGGCCCTCCCTCTCCCCTGGGCTCAGTGCACTTCCCTCGACTCCTCAGCTCTCTTCTGCCCCCCTCATCCAGGCCCCAGACTTCCTCAGTTAGTGACCTCACTTCCGCCCCTCTGAGACCGGCCAGGCCCCAGCTCCGGCCTCCAGCTTACCCCCTTGCTCCCAGTCACCTGCCGGCAGGATTCCCCTAAACCAATGGGCCGCGCATTGCTCTGCTGAGCGTGTGCCAGGCCAGCGTCCAGGGAAGCCACCTCCCGAGGGGCCCGCAGCACCTCTGCCCTCTCCACAGGGCCACGGCTCGGCTGGGCATGTCTTGCAGCTCGGGCCACCAGCTCCACTCGACACCCTTCCGTCCTGTCCTCCAGGCCACCTCGGCCATCTCAACATCACACACTCCCTGCTGCCTCCCGACACCCACAGAAAGCAAGGTGCCGCCCCTTCTTCCCCGTGAACCAGGGCCCCGGCTGTTGGCTCAGCAGGCCCCAGCTGATTCTTGCTGGTGCCCACGGCTCCAGCTCCGCCCTGGCAGCACCCACTGTGCAGCTGGCGGCCCTCGTGCCTGTCTCTGGCGGTGGAAACTGCTCTGGGGGAGGGGCTGCCTTCTCGGAGTCCAGGCGGAAGCCTGCACCTGCCCTGTGGGGCCCCTGCGTATTCACCGAGCCAACTGAGCCAGAGTGTCTTTCTCTGCGACACAGCCCAGGCCGGGACAATGCTCTCACACCCTAAGAGAAGTGACACTCTGCGCTGACTTGACCCAGGAAAGTGGACGCAATCCCAGCAGCTGCCCAGGGAGGACAGGGCACGCCGCATGCCCCTGGGAGAGCAAGGCCACAGTGGGCCCGACGCCTCCTCACACGGAACTGACTCTGCTGGCCAAAGGATCTGGGGGCAGGAGCCACTGAGCAACTCCACATCTCCGTTTTCAGCACCGATGCCCACGGTGGTGGAGGCCGGTACCAGAGAGCGCCGTTCTGCTCTGGCAGAGCTTGGAAAGCCCGTTCTTCCTGCTCAGGTGCCTGTGGGCCATGGCCGGGGCCCGGCAATCCACGGGGCTCGGTGTGGCGGGGCTCTCCGCAGGGGCTGGCACGGGGAGGCTCCCAGACAGGCATCTCCGGTCCTCTTCAAAGGCTTCCATGGGGGAGGGTGGCCCAGTCACTGAGCTTCGACCCTCACGGCGTCACCTGGCCTCCTAGAAAACAAAGTGTGGCTGACTCCCGGCTGTGGTGGGGGTGCTTCGGCCAGCAGGCCCCCAGCCTGACTCCTGAAGCTGCACTTCAGAGAAAGGCACGGGAGTACGGGAAAGCAGAGCCGGGGGCACGGAGGGAGCAGGGAGCTGCAGGGCCACACAGGCAGAGATGGCCACTGGGACCCCCGGAACCGCCTGCTCCCCTGGCCCCAGCTTTCCCCACAGCTCCTGGGAACTTCCAATAAACACAGGCCACAGCTGAGAGTCTACATCCCCTGGAGATGGACCTGTAGACCCAAACACAGAAAGTGAAAGTAACACAGGAGATGCCACACACCCTGCAGCGAGCCCCACCGATGACAATGCCTGTGCACTACAGGGCAGCGACGCGTGAGCGCCCTCAGCTGCACCCTGTGCGTGCGTCACACACGTGCAGGACAGCAGACAGCTCCACCCCGCGCGGTAACAGCACTGCAAACACAAGGGCGCACTCACAAACCTTGTCCTCAGGCCGGACTCAACAAGGAGGAAGAGTCCTGTGCTAGAAGGGGCCCCACCTGGGCATCCAGGCTCTTCACAAAGGACAACAGGACACCGCGGCCGACGCCAGACCACCAGCAGCAGCTCCCCCGTGACGTGCAGAGACCACAGGGCCAAGACACATGTTCCTGGGTCTGCAGCCCATTTAACCTGTGTCTTCTACGGCCTGTTTGGATGTCGACACCTCGCCCAGACCCTTAGATGGACAGAACATTGAGGGCATCCCAGCCAGAGAGTGAAGCGTCACCATCAGAGTACGCCACAGAGCTGCAGGAGCTCTAACGCACGGGGGTGCTGGCATCCACCCAGGCTCAGCCACAGCCACCCGTAACTGCAGCTCCCCTGCCCAGACAGGGCCCAGCTGAGAGCCTGGGGCTGGAACACCAACACAAGAGCCCTGGGGACGTGACGCACCCGTAACACTTCTAAACACAACAGGAGAAAGATCTTCAGTGGTTTCTTAGGCAAGACACAAGAAGCATCAACCATAACAGAAAGACTGGCGGGGCCAGCACTGTGGGACAGCTTAAGCAGCACTGTCAACCCATATGGGCACCGGTTTGAGTCCCGGCTGCTCCTCTTCCGATCCAGCTCTCATGCTGTGGCCTGGGAAAGCAGCAGTGATGGCCCAAGTCTTGTGCCCCTGCACCTGCATGGAACTCCCAGAAGCTCCTGGCTCTTGGCTTCCGATCAACACAGCTCCAGCCACTGTGGCCATCTGGGGAGTGAACCAGCAGATGGAAGACCTCTCTGTCTCTCCCCCTCTCTGTCTGTAACTCTACCTCTCAAATAAATAAATATTAAAAAAAAAAAAAAGAGTCAACCCAAACACAATGCCTCTGCCATTTAAAAACCAAAAAGGGGGCAGGCACTTGGCCTAGCACACCAGGCGCGAGTGAACACACTGGCTGCAGCTTCCTGCTGATGCAGAGCCTGGGTCCCTGCCACCGAAGGGAGACCTGGACTGAGCTCCCCGCTTCCTGCTTTGGCCCCAGCCCAGCCACAGCCGCTGCAGACATTCAAAAAGTAAACCAAGGGATGGAGGAGCAAGCTCTTTGTAGGACAAATTCCTTTCTAATTTAAATAAAGAGAAAAGACAAGCCATTGGCTTGGAGAAAATATTCGTAATACCTGTACCTGACACAAGGCTTGTCACTGGAATAAAGAACTCTCATGGCTCAGTCATAAGGAGGCACAGCGCAGTCTTCGTTACAACGGGCAAAGGCTCTGAGTGGACGTGTTGCCACAGACACGCGTGGGCAAAAGCTTTGAACGGATGTGTTGCCACAGACACACGTGGGCAAAGGCTCTGAGTGGACGTGTTGCCACAGACATGCGTGGGCAAAGGCTTTGAACGGACGTGTTGCCACAGACACGTGTGGACAAAGGCTCTGAATGGACGTGTTGCCACAGACACGCGTGGGCAAAGGCTCTGAGTGGACGTGTTGCCACAGACACGCGTGGGCAAAGGCTCTGAATGGACGTGTTGTCATAGACATGCGTGGGCAAAGGCTTTGAACTGACGTGTTGCCACAGACACGCGTGGGCAAAGGCTTTGAACAGACATGTTGTCATAGACACTCATGGGCAAGGGCTTTGAACGGACATGTTGTCATAGATACACGTGGGCAAAGGCTCTGAATGGACGTGTTGTCATAGACACGCATGGGCAAAGGCTCTGAATGGACGTGTTGTCATAGACACGCATGGGCAAAGGCTCTGAATGGACGTGTTGTCATAGATACACGTGGGCAAAGGCTCTGAATGGACGTGTTGTCATAGATACACGTGGGCAAAGGCTCTGAATGGACGTGTTGTCATAGACACGCATGGGCAAAGGCTCTGAATGGACGTGTTGTCATAGACACGCATGGGCAAAGGCTCTGAATGGACGTGTTGTCATAGATACACGTGGGCAAAGGCTTTGAACGGACATGTTGTCATAGACACGCATGGGCAAAGGCTTTGAATGGCCGTGTTGCCTCAGACATGCGTGGTAAGAGCTCCTCGTCTTGCCATCAGGGCAGGCAGACTGAGCCTGCAGCAAGCCGTCTCTCGCTGCTCAGCCGCCAGACCACTAACTGTCGAGAAAACGAGAACACGCAGTATTGCCACGCACTCCGAGCACCGGGCCTCTCCCGGGTCGATAGGAATCCATGTGGCCCCCACCTTGGAAAGCAGGACAAAGCAGCTGCACCCCAGTACTCGCCATGAGAAGACAGCTCACGCGTGCATCCACGCCTGCTGACCACAGCGCCAGCCAAAGCAGCTCCAAAGAGAAACAAATGTCAATTCACATGTCTGGCCATCAACAGGAGACAATGAATCCACCCCCACAAGGAAGATGAACCAACTCGGCACACACACGATGACGTGGGTGAATCTCAGGACCCCACACTGCGCAGCGACAGTCAGAGACAAACGGCCTGCGCGGGGGCACTCCAGCTGCACACAGCCCTGGAGAGCAGGCCAGCAGCGGGCAGGGAAGGCGCTGGCCAAGACACGGCTCGCGGAGCCTCGGGGTAACGGAGCAGCTCTGCCTGCGCTGAGGCCTGACGTCCAGCTCACGCTCACCCAACTCTGACCAGAGAGGGGCACGTTTTACCAGACGCAAATTAGGTCTCAATAAAGTTAATTCTTAAAATGCCAGAAAATAGGCAGGTCACAGCTGAAAAGAAAAGTCGTGAATTACAAGACGTACTGGAACCAGCGACCCAGCGTCCAACACAGAGTCCGGAGTAAAAGTGACAGAGCGCAGTGGAGAGAACGCAACGCACAGCCACGGGACGGCGGCCGCGCGGCGGGCCTACCTGCTGGGTGACGAGCAGGGCATCTTCGACAGCAAATGCGGACTCGAGTTCCTGGAACCAGGGCCGCTGCTGATCGCACGCAGTGGGGTGGGGAGGGGGGCTCTTAGCCTACCAGTGGGGAACTCAAGAAAGGAGGTGCACAGCAGTGAAGCCGCGGGGTGGACGCCCACGTCCTGTATCAGAGTGGCTGTTTCCAGAGCTGGCTCCACTTCTGATTCCAGCTCCCACGCGTGCACGTGCTGGGAGGCTACAGCCGACGGTTCAGCGCCTGGGTCCCCGCTAGCCACGTGGGAGACCAGATGCAGTTTCTGATTATGGCCTAGCCCAGCCCCAGCTGTTGTAGGCATCTGGGGAGTGAACCAACCAACAGATTGGTTTCTCAGATTTTTTTCTCTCTCTCTGCCTTCCAAATAAAATGAAAATAAATTAAAAAAAAAAAAAACTCAAAGTGCCGTGTTGGAAAGGCCAGGCGGGAGGAACAGGGCACAGCCACAGGCCTGCGAGTTGTGGACGCCTGAGGCGTGACAGGGAGGGCTGCCTCACTGACCACACACGGGCCACTAACCTGCATGTGCTGGGGCAACTCCCTGGCCAGACAGGAACGGACAAAAACAGCATTCAACACGGCACACACAGGGAGCAGTGCCCAGGGTACACAGAGAACCCTGAAGGAAAGAACGTGACCACCCACAAGGCCTCGGGGTAAGCAGACGTCTTCCCAACCAAGACACAAGCAGCTCTAGCCACCAAATCAGTGATCAATTTAGCATAAAAATTCAGAACATCTGCTCACAAAAAATTCCACGAGGGACAAGCACAGCTTAGGAGGATATCTGCAGCACATATGTTACAGGGACCGGCTATCCAGGACAGTTCCAAAAGGTGAAAATGTTAATGTTTAAAAACTTTAGGCCGGTGCCGCGGCTCACTAGGCCAATCCTCCGCCTTGCGGTGCCGGCACACCGGGTTCTAGTCCCGGTCGGGGTGCCGGATTCTGTCCCGGTCGCTCCTCTTCCTGTCCAGCTCTCTGCTGTGGCCCGGGAGTGCAGTGGAGGATGGCCCAAGTGCTTGGGCCCTGCACCCACATGGGAGACCAGGAGGAAGCACCTGGCTCCTGGCTTCGGATCAGCGCGGTGCGCCGTCTGCAGCAGCCATTGGGGTGCGAGCCAACGGAAAAGGAAGACCTTTCTATCTCTCTCTCACTGTCCACTCTGCCTGTCAGGAAAAACAAAACAACTTGAAAAGATACAAGACCAGTAGAAAAATGCCAAGACGTACGGACGGAGTTTCAGAAAACAGGAAACCCAGGGGCCGTGAACCTGTGCTGGGCTCCTTAGCGCGATCCGACTCCCACCTCCCCACCAGCACCACATGCTAGCCATGGCAGACCGTGCAAAGGCCTGGGCTGGGCGAGACCTCCGGCCGACGCTCGCCGCCTCCGACAGCATCCTCCAGCCTCGCACCCATGTTAGAGAAACTCGTGCACAGGGCGAGAAGACACGAGCTATTCCGGGCAGCAAGGCCGACCCAGCAAAGGGACAAGGAAGGAAGAAATGAGACCGCCCCAGCACTCAGCAGGGAGAGAAGTCATCGTAGATTCTGGAACCTTTAGGCTACGGACTGCAGCCGGGAAATCGAAGGAGCTACACAAAACAGGGATACACAAAACAGGGATACCTCTTAGAACCTACCGAGCAGAAAAAGCAAACCAAGCTCCAGAAAGCTGAGCGGTGGGCCACTTCCCTTACAAGGCAAGCCGGAAGGTAAACACAGGGCTGAGAGCCGCTGCCTGCCGGGCCGGCATCCTGGGTCCCGGCTGCTCCACCACCAGTGCAGCTCCCTGCTGTGGCCTGGGGAAGCAGCGGGGACGGCCCAGCTGCCTGGGCCCCTGCACCCCCGTGGGAGACCTGGAGGAAGCTCCTGGCTCCTGGCTTCCGCCGGCCGGCTGGGGAATAAGTCAGCTGATGGAAGACAGACCTCTGTGTCTCTCCTCTCCGTGTGGAACGCCTCCAAACAAATAAATACCACCCCCTCCCCGAAGAAAAGCCCTAGCGCTGTCCAGACACATTGCCGGCAAAAGGAAAGAACCGGGAGGCGGGGGCAGGGAGGCGAACGCTGCTGCTACCTGGGGAGGCCGGGCCCAGGCCTCAGAGCCATCTGCGAGCCCTGCACTCCACAGCCACGGCGGGCCCGCGGGCAGAGCCCGGCTTCTCCCACCGCCCGCAGGCGCCAGCCAGGCCTGGGCTCCCAGGGCGGCATCGGGAGAGCTGAGCCCTGAGGCCACGGACAGAGGTCCAGCGACCGACGTGGACAGGCGCCCAGGGGGCCACACGCCTAGGACCAAGGTGACCAGGCCCAGCAACGTGGGACGAAGCCGGGCATGGGGAGAGGTCACAGCTACCTGGGCGAGAAAGGATGAGGTCTAAAGGGAAGCGGACCCAGCAGAGAACGCTGCACGCCGAGCTGGCCAGGCTGGCATCCCAAGCTGCCTGGGCTGGGGCCGGGGCGCCCGTGACAGCCCCACTCGGCCCGGGAAGACCGCCAGACAGCCTGCGCCCCGCACCCACGCGAGGGACCCGGGCCCGGCCGTCACGGCCATCTGCGGAGCCAACCAGCGCAAGGAAGACCGAGTGACCACAGTGTGCCCGGAGGCGTTACCAGCGTGCGGGGCCAGGGGCAAACGGCCAGAACCCCGCCGCCAGGCCGCGACCGGGAGAAAGAGCGGCGACGGCGCGCGGGCCGGGCCAGCGAGAGGGCTGCCGGTGCCCCTCGGCCCCGTGCGGGGGGACACAGGACCGACAACTACCGCCCCGGGACCGCGGGGCGCCCGCCTGCCCAGGCCCAGGGACCTCACCTAGGTTCGGCCACAGTCACACCGCCAAGATCTCCTCAGCCCGCGGGAAGGGAACCGACCCGCACTTCCAGCCTACCTGCCAATCGCAGAGCTACTCTCGTAGATTGACGGGCCCTACAGGCCAATCGCTAGCGCGGGAAGGCGGGACTAGGAGAGCCGGCGCCTAGAAGCCCGCGCTAACGGTTGCTAGGGACGCATTGGACACCCCCCTACGGTGCCTCGCAGGCGCCAAAAGAGATGGGAAAGAGGCACAGCCCCGGACACGTCTACGGGCGGCCTCGTCTTGAGGGCGGGAGTGCCCAGGCAGCTCCTTCACAGGCCCTGAGGCCCGAGGGGCAGGCGAGGCCGCGACGCCCTCCGTAGCCCGCAGCGAGCGAGCTGGACCTCTCGCACAGGCCAGGTCCGCGCAGGGACGCCAAGGGGAAGCCGTGGAACTGGCCTGCAGCTGCTGTACAGCCGGAGCCAAGGCCAGCATGCTCGTGGAACTGGCCCGCACCTGCCGCCCAGCGGCACGCCTATCCCCGGCGCGCAGACCAGCTCTGACTTCGTGAGTCCTGCTCTAACCCCAACGCGTTCTTTCCTAGCCTCTGACCTCCACACTCCTCGGCCTTGGCTGCCTTAAATTACCCGCCCTGGGAGGCGAGGCGGGAGGCAAGGAACTACAGCTCCCATGAGGCGCTGCGGCTGGGCGCCGGGATCCTATTGGCCGGACCCGCTCGGAGCCGCGAGCCCTGATTGGCTGCGCGGCCTGAGGCGACGAGTTCCGGAAAGGGGACGAGCAGCCAATATGGCGGCGGAGCGCGGCGCAGGGCAGCAACAGTCGCAGGAGATGATGGAGGGTGAGCGGCCCCTGCGGGCGGAGGCGAGGGCCCTGCGGGCGGGGGAGCAGCGGCCGGCACTGGCCTCTGGCCGGGAGGAGCTGGGCGGCCCGCTCCGGGCGACGGCCGGGCCTGCCGGGAGGGCTCCGACAGCCCCAGGTCAGGCGGGGCGGGGGAGGCTCGGACCCGGGGAAGCCCGGCCCGAGGGCGGCAGCGACCAGGAGGACCCCGCGGCGCGGGGGCGGGGGCGGGGACGGCGGCGGCGCGAGCCCAGTCGAGGTGACGGCTCCGTGCGAGGCGGGGGCTTCCCGAAGGCGGGCGGAAGCCTCGCCCGGAGCCCCGAGATGGACAGGCGAGAGAGCGGTGCCGGGGGCCCCCGAGGGACCCCCAGGCTGGGGGCTGGCACCTGCTGGAGTCTGCTCGTGGGTGTCTGCGCCGGGGCGTGGAAGGGGCCTCTCGCGAAAGCGAAGGTATCGTGGCGACACCGGCGTTCCAGAAGCCGGGGCCTGTTTTTAAGGGCACCGTGGTTACGAAAAAGACCCCATTCAGCCTTCTTCCGCCTGTACTTTGTTGGGAAAGATGCAGACTGTGTGTGTGTGTGTGTGTGTGCGCGCGCGCGCGTTAACACGGCACGTGCGCGTTGTATACATGCTTACGCAAGAACACTTCAGGAAGTTCGTGGAAAATGGGGTTAAAAAAGAAATGCATTTTGGTGCAAAAAAAATTTTTTTTTAAATTCATGCAGGCCATTTTCATGATAGGCATTTTCCGTGAGCTTTCTGAAGACTGCATTTCTTCAGAGCCAGAGATGGGGTGCAGATCTCTGGAGGGAGGGTGCTGGGCTCGGGGCGGGGTCGTGGAGAGCCCTGCCCGTCAGCCAGGTTGGGGACTGGTGAGTGCGTTCCGAAGACCGCAGGGAGGCACAGGTGCCAGGGAGTCTGACCCAGGGGCTGGAGGGCCTGGACGTCAGGACCCTTGGTAGCAGAAGGGCACCCTTTTGAAGCCCACCCCTGCGCCCTCGTGAGCTGTGCCCACGTCTTGGTGGGTGGCGGTCTGGACCCACACCCCCCCTCGTCTCGGTCCTGAGCCCCCCACTGCCCTCCTCGCTGGGGGTGCTGCTCCTGCTCCTCACCCACCCGGCCCCGCCCCAGCCCCCAGACTCTCACGCCCCTCCCGTCAGGCTGACGTTGACCGCAGTGTGCCCGTGTCTGCCGATGAATAATGCATTAGGCCCCCGGTTCCTGAGGTGCGGGCACGGTGCCAGCTCCCTGTACAGACGGGGAAGCCGAGGCCTGGAGAAAGCACTGGGAAGAGCCACTGGCATTCCAGAAACATCTTGGGGTGAACCGTGAGACCAGATCAGACCCTCCAGCGACAGGGAGCACTCACCTGGGCGGCTGCCCCGGCCCACGGTTACCGCGTGGGGGGCGAGGCGTGGGAGCTGGTGGAGATGGTTCCAGGAGGAGCTACTCAGTCCCAGTGCTTTCCTGGGGGTCACTTGGTGAGCAGGGCCAGGAGGCATGTGTGTGTGAGAGCCCCTGGCCGACGCCCCCGTCCCGTGTTGGGGCCCCAGACTCCCAGCTCCGAGAGGGTCAGCAATGCGGCGATGGGAAAGACTGATTCTCGACTGCCCACCGCTGCCTTGTTCTTTAACTCAGAAAGGCGCAGTCCCAGCCTTTACAGCTGTGGCCCCAGCGCTCTGTCTGGGACAGTTCATGGCACTCAGGCTGTCGGCTGTGTTCCCCGCCTTCTTCAGCCCCACCCACAGTCTGACGAGAGTCAGTGTTTATTTATTTATTTATTTTTAAGATTTACCTATTTATTTGAAAGTCAGAGTTACACACAGAGAAGAGAGGCATAGAGAGAGGTCTTCCATTCGTTGGTTCACTCCCCAACTGGCCGGAGCTGCGCCGATCCAAAGCCAGGGGCTTCTTCCAGGTGTCCCACGCAGGTGTAGGGCCCCAAGCACTTGGGCCATCTTCTACAGCTTTTCCAGGCAATAGCAGAGCTGGATTGGAAGTGGAGCAGCCGGGACTCGAACTGGCACACCCCTATGGGATGCTGGCACTGCAGGCAGCGGCTTTACCCACTACTCCACAGCGCCGGCCCCTGGAGTCAGTCTTGACCTCGTTCAGAACATGGCCCTGCGTGGGGCCGGAGCCGTGGCAGCAGATTGAGGTTCTGCCTGCAGTGCTGCCATTGTATGTGGGCACTAGTTTGGGTCCCAGCTGCTCCACTTCCCATCCAGCTCCCTGCTAATGTGCCTGGGAAAGCAGCAGAAGATGGCCCAAGTGCGGGGGCCCCGCACCCACGGGGGAGACCCGGAGGAAGCTCCTGGGTTCTGCCTGAGCTGGGCTGTAGCAGCCGTTCAGAGAGTGACCCAGCAGGTGGAAGACTCTCTCTGCCTCTCCCTCTCTGTAGCTCTGCCTTTCAAATAAATCTTCAAAGAGAACACCAAAAACAGAAACGTGGTTCTGTGTGCTCGGCTGGCATGGACACACGTGTGGCAGAAGGGCCACATGGTGCCCTAACCCCTTTCTCCCCCACTGCATGGTGGTGAGAGAACGTGTGACTGCAGGCTGTCCCAAGCTCCTGGAGGCAAGGGCAGCCTGCTGCGCCCTCCTGCCCGTGCGGCCTCTCCTGCCCCCCTCGGTGTTCTCAGAATGTCCTGGGACACAGGCAACAACCAAGTGTCTCTTGGATCGAAAGAAACCATTTTTTAAAAAGATTTATTTACTTGAAAGGCAGAGTGATAGAGAAAGAGAGATTTTCCATTGGTTGGTTCACTCCTCAAATGGCTGCAACAGCTGGTGCTGGGCCAGGCTGAAGCCAGGAGCCTGGAGCTCCATCTGGGTCTCCCATGTGGGTGGCGGGGCACAAGCACTTGGGCCCTCCTCCACCGCCTTCCCATTAGCAGGGAGCTGGATCGAAACCAACACTCAAACAAAATGCCAGTGTCGTCGCTGGCCCTGGCCGTGAATTCTCACTGCCGCGTGTGGCTTCAGTTGACAGGCGAGTGGAATCGGAGGAGTCGGGCGATGAGGAGGGGAAGAGGCACAGCAGCGGCATCGTGGCGGACCTCAGCCAGCAGAGCCTGAAAGATGGGGAGGAGCGGGCCGAGGAGGACCCGGAAGGTACCGTCTGCACGAGGGACGCCAGCTCAGGCGGGGAGGGCGCGGGCGGGACTGCCCCGTGTCTGTCGCGCTGCTGTGCTCCCCGGGGCCCTGCCGGCAGGATTCCGCTGAAGGCAAACAGCTTTACTGAGCTGCACCCTGGAAGCAAGATCTGCACTCAACATGGCCGCCTTGTGTGCGGCAGACGAAACTGCGGGCCTGAGCATCCCGCCCCCCGCGACGTGCAACACAGCCCGGCACCTCCAGTTGCCTGGTGAATAACAGCAGCGGAACAGATTTAGATGAGAAAAGTCAGTCTCGCCCCGCACTGGTGGCTTCTCACGGGCCTAGCCTTTTCTTTTTGCGTAAACAATTTATATTTCAAAGAAAGAGAGAATCCGTGTGAACGCAGAGGGCTGCTCAGGACAGATTATTGGGTAAAAACAGCAAGTTTCTCAGCACATGCCTGTTGAAATCTTGTTTTTGGTTCCCTGCCAGGACAGGCAGCGTGGCCACTGTGCCTGGCAGGTCTGGGAGGGCCGCACACCTGTGTTTTCCCACTGTACTAGATGCGTGGGTGTCTCAGGTGTCGGTAGTCACGCATCGCCCCTCTCAGAAGAAAAGTCAGCCTCAAAAACAAGGCTGAGGTTTAAAATAACGTGCTTTCTGTGTTGGCAGAGATGATTGGTAACTATGGCAACTTAGTGCTAAGGCAAAAGGAGATCACCGGGAAAGTAATCAGAGTCACGTTGCAGCTTCCAAGTCCATGTCCTGGGAGTGACGAGGGAGGCAGAGAGGGCACAGAGTGACGTCAGCAGACGCGGGCCACCCTCGGGTCTGCGCTGCTGGGGCCTCGGGCGCCTGGAGGGCTGGCGAGCTGGCAGAGCTCCGTGGAGCAGTTCCCTTGCCGGGCCTGTGTCTCAGGCCGGCGGTGTGCGATCCTGAGTGAGGACCCACTGCTGCCACTTGCTCGCCCGAAGCCGGCTGAGCTGCACCCTGGCTGTCGGAGTTCTCCCGTCCTTAAGGAGGCTGGGACTTGCTCCACCTGTGCTTACTTAAGTTGTGAGTGCGAATAGAACAGATCCAAGCGTGTCAACTGTTACCTTCTTCTTCTTCCTAGCTTGTTTTAAAGGCGCATTCGGAAGGGTGTGCTCGGCAGGCAGCTTTGTTTTGGAGGTTACAGAGACACTGTGCCCTGAGGAGCTGGCCCCGCCCCGGTGCCACCTGCTGGCTCAGCTCCTCTCCGTGGAGCCTCTGTGTGGACACTGAATGACCAGGCTCCAGCCGTGGTCATGCTCCCTCTTGTGCCGTGACGCCTGGAGTCCACGGCTGCTGAGGGCTGTCGAGGGTGTGCCGCCTGTCTCTTCCCGCTTGTCCCCAATTCCTTTCTTGTGTGTCTTAGGTTGATTTTGAGTGGCATCCTAAGGAATGAGAGCCGGAAGTATAATAAGTGACTGCTTTTTCAATTTGTTTATTTTCATGTTTTATGAAAGAAGAAGTTTTCATTCCTGACACTCCCCAGACGCCTGTGACAGCGGGGCTGGAGCAGGCTGAAGCCAGGAGCCCAAAACTCAATCCTGGTGTCCCATGTGAGCGGCTGGGACCCAAGTCCTTGAGCCGTCGCTGCTGCCCCCGAGATGTGCGTTAGGAGGAAGCTGGGGCGGGGCTGGCACCCAGGCCCTGCAGTGTGGGCGCGGGCATCCCTGGCAGCAGCTCAGCCGCTGCACGAGGCACCCGCCCCGGGCACTTCCTTGGCCGGCTTCTGCTGTCTGGAATGGCACCGTGAAAAGGCGAGAGCTGACGTCGAGTGTGGGGCGGCTCCTTCTCTGTTCTGCGCCTTCCTGAGGCCTCCGCGGGGCGCAGCCTGAGGGAGGCCCAGACCATGCGCACCTGCTCCCCTGCGCAACAGGAGCAGGTTTGCACCGCGGGAGAGGCGCGGCAGGAAGAGCCCACTTCCACAAATGCATGGTATCCACAGACTGCAGCCCGCCCGTCCCTACAGGACGTGCAGCGCAAGGGATCGGAGGGGCTGATGTCCCGGGTCCCTGTGTGACCTAATTCAGGCGAACCAGGGGAGACACTAAGACAGCTGAGGAAACGGAAGGGGATAACGAGGGGTGTTCTTGTCACTTAAGGTATCCTCAGGGAGAAAGGCATGTTCCTGTGTGTGTCCACAGGGACCTGTACATGTTGTGTATTCTGCATGTGTGTGGAGTGGGCCATGTGTGTATCTGTGTCTGTCCCTGCATGCATGTATGTGTGTGTGTCTGCATGTCAGTGCGTGTGTGTGGAAAGGGCCGTGTGGCTGTATCTGTGCACGTCACTGCATGCCTGTATGTGGCTGTGTGTGCAGCAGGCCATGTGTGTCTGCATGTGTGGTGTCTGTGCATGTGTGGTGTGCGTATGTCTTAGTCCCTTTCAACACACACTTAAATGAAAAGGAGGACCTAATAATGGAGGCTGAGCCCCAGTGGCTGAGGAGGCGGCAGCTCTCTGGGGAGTAGAGTCTGCCGGCGTCCCCGCGCCCGTTACCAGGGGCGGGAGAAGTTGCCAATGTCCCTGCGCCCGTTACCAGGGGCGGGAGAGTCTGCCAGTGTCCCCACGCCCGTTACCTGGGGCGGGAGAGTCTGCCAGTGTCCCCGTGCCTGTTACCAGGGGCGGGAGTCTGCCGGCATCCCCACACCCATTACCAGGGGCGGGAGAGTCTGCCAGTGTCCCCGTGCCTGTTACTAGGGGCGGGAGTCTGCCGGCATCCCCGCGGAGAGGCTGCTGGTGTCCCCGCGCCCATTACCAGGGGCGGGAGAGTCTGCCAGCGTCCCTGTGCCCGTTACCGGGGCGGGAGAGTCTGCCGGTGTCCCCGTGCCCGTTACCAGGGGCGGGAGAGTCTGCCAGTGTCCCCGTGCCCGTTACCAGGGGCGGGAGAGTCTGCCAGTGTCCCCGTGCCTGTTACCAGGGGCGGGAGAGTCTGCCAGCGTCCCTGTGCCCGTTACCGGGGCGGGAGAGTCTGCCAGTGTCCCTGTGCCTGTTACCAGGGGCGGGAGAGTCTGCCGGTGTCCCCGTGCCCGTTACCAGGGAGGCTCCCTGCCTGTCTGTGGAGCTGTGCTTCAAAAGGAAGCTGGTGCAGATGCTGAGCCACTTTGCCAAGCAATAAAGGCGGCGTCCTAGGACAGGGCCAGGCCAGTGGAAGGAGCATATGGGAGACAGGCTGCCGCCAGGGCCACAGCACTGGGGGCCAGTGGCTTCCATCCATTCTGCTACTGGTTTCCGACTGCCATTCCTTTCCCGGGAGGCTCAGAGGCACGCATGGAAGTTAGGAGACCTTTGCCAGTGGCCAAGCGGAAGAAGCTCGACACACGACACACCGCTGTGGGGCGGGGCCTGCTGGTCCCGGCGCGGTGTCCCTGGTGTCCCCTCTGCCGAGCGGCTCGGGCCTTGGAGCCGTAGCTCCTCCCCAGCTCCCTGACTGCTGCCCACCCGCAGGGTTCTCAGTGAGCCTCCTCTCACCTTTTTTCAGAGGAACATGAGCTGGCTGTGGACATGGAAACCATTAACCTGGACAGAGACGCAGAGGTAATGCTGCCTGCTGGGCGGGCCTGCGGGCACAGTGACGGACCACCCTGACCGCCAGGCTGTCTGGGGGGTGCCAGATTCCCCTGGAGAGGTCGCCAGGCCTTGCTTGGGTGGCTTCCTGTCTTCTGGTGGTGGTTAAAGCAGCGATGAAAATGCCCCTGCGTGTCACCCTGGAGCCGCCATCGACCCACATGACTACGTGGTACGTGGCAGGGTCTTAACGTCCCAGCCTCAGTGCGACACGTGTGGCACGATGCCTGGCACCGGGGCATCTCCTCAGAACCTGCTCTTCACGTTTTGTGCTCAGGGGGCTGGGAGGTGAGAGAAAGGTGTGCGTACACACCATCTTGATGGTCAGTTTAACGGTAAACTGACAGGAAGCGCATGGTGCAGCCCACCCCGGCTCACTGTCACTGCCCTGACCTGGCGCCCTCTCCTGCCTGCCCATCTGCTCTCGTTGCAGGACGTGGATCTGAACCACTATCGCATCGGGAAGATCGAAGGCTTCGGGGTGCTGAAGAAGGTGAAGGTGAGCGCAGGCTCCGCCCCCACGCTGAGCACCGTGCCTGTGGTGGGCACCGGCGTGCCTGCGGCATGTGCCTCCCTCCCCTACGCACTCCTCAGCGTTGGGGTCCTCACTCCCTCCAGTTAAATTTGCTTCTGAAAACAGCCCACTTTGGGGTCTTTTGTTCGGCCAGAAAGGGGCACAGGCTCCAGCCCCAGACCAGCCAACCTCCTGAAGGATATCTGTTCGGTGTGGGGCTGCCACAGCCTCCCTCTGGGTTTCTGTCCACACACAAGTAGACAGGGCAGCCTCTCAAAGAGCAGCCATTGCCAGAAACCAGTAGAATGAAAACTCTTTCACTAAGAGACTGACCCTAAACCACAGTAACAAGTGGCAGCACTCCATTAGTCCCCACTGTGTGTCTGGTACAGCCTGCACTGTCTCAGCTCACTGCTGTGTGTCTGGACAAGCCTGCACTGTGTCAGCTCCCCACTGTGTATCCGGTACAGCTTGCACTGTGTCAGCTCCCCACTGTGTGTCCGGTACAGCCTGCACTGTGTCAGCTCCCCTCGGTGTGTCCAGTACTGCCTGTACTGTGTCAGCTCCCCACTGTGTGTTCGGTACAGCCTGCACTGTCTCAGCTCCCCGCCTTGTGTCCGGTACAGCCTGCACTGTGTCAGCTCCCCGCTGTGTGTCCGGTACAGCCTGCACTGTGTCAGCTCCCTGCTGTGTGTCCGGTACAGCCTGCACTGTGTCAGCTCCCCGCTGTGTGTCTGGTACAGCCTGCACTGTGTCAGCTCCCCGCTGTGTGTCCGGTACAGCCTGCACTGTGTCAGCTCCCCTCTGTGTGTCCGGTACAGCCTGCACTGTGTCAGCTCCCCGCTGTGTGTCCGGTACAGCCTGCACTGTGTCAGCTCCCCGCTGTGTGTCTGGTACAGCCTGCACTGTGTCAGCTCCCTGCTGTGTGTCCGGTACTGCCTGCACTGTGTCAGCTCCCCGCTGTGTGTCCGGTACAGCCTGCACTGTCTCAGCTCCCCTCTGTGTGTCTGGTACAGCCTGCACTGTGTCAGCTCCCCTCGGTGTGTCCGGTACAGCCTGCACTGTGTCAGCTCCCCTCGGTGTGTCCAGTACAGCCTGCACTGTGTCAGCTCCCCGCTGTGTGTCCGGTACAGCCTGCACTGTGTCAGCTCCCCGCTGTGTGTCCGGTACAGCCTGCAGTATTCCCCACATTCGTGTTGTCCATGTCTGTGCCAGACTCTCTGCCTGCGTCAGAACCTCATTAAGTGCATCGAGAACTTGGAGGAGCTGCAGAGTCTTCGAGAACTGGATCTCTATGACAACCAGATCAGGAAGATAGAGAACCTGGAGTCCCTGGCAGAGCTGGAGTAAGTCACGGAACAATGCAGGCCCGCGTGGTGATCGGGGAGAGATGACCGGGCGGGGCAGCTGGTTTCTCCAGAACCAACCCCTGCCCAGCTCTGAGCCCTTGGGTGGCTGTCCCCAACAGGGTCCTGCCCTGCACCCAGCTCCCAGATCCCTGCCCGCCAGGCATGTGTCATTGGCTTGATAGATGGTCTAGGCCAGAGACTAAAGTGGGCCTGTGGCCAGACTGCTTTACAGGGACGATTCCAAGCCAGGGAGAGGGAAGTTAATCCAGAGTTTCCTTTCTAGGGGCAGGCGTTTGGCCTAGCAGTTAAGATGCCACGTGCATGTCACATTGCCTGTGTTTGATGCCTGGCTCCGTCTCCTGACTCCAGCTTCCTGCCAGTGCAGACCCTGGGAGGCAGAAGTGATAGCTCAAGTAATTGGGTTCCTGCCACCCATGTGGGAGACCTGGACTGAGCTCCTGACCCTGGCCCAGCCCATCGCAGGTATTTGGGGAGAGAAAGTGGATGGGAACTCTCTGTCTCTCTCTAGCTCTTTCTCTCTCTCTCTCTATGTCTGTCTGTCTGCCTCTCTAGTCAAAAAAATTTTTTGAACAAAATTTCCTTTTGCCTTACAAATACTCTTTAAAAAAAAAAAAAAAAAAACTTACTTGAGAAACAGAGACAGAGAGATTTTCCACTCACTGGTTCACCTCCCCAATGCCCCCGACAGCCAGGGCTGGATTAAGCTTAAGTGAGGAGCCTGGAGCTCCATCTGGGTCTCCCAGGTGAGTAGCAGGGACCCAAATACTTGAACTTATACCTGCCACCTCCAAGGCTACACATTAGCAGGGAACCAGAATCAGAAGCTGAGCTAGAAGTTGAGCCCAGGCATTCCAGGATGGGATGCGGACAGATGCTCACCCCATGAATCCTTTTTTTAGACAATAAAAGAGTAAATGATAATTCTAAAAATAAAAGAATAAGTGATAATTGTAAAAACACAGGAGCTGGGACCCGAACACAGCTGCCCCTGGGCCCCTGTGGCCCCGGAGTTCTGTTTGTTTTGACTCAGGCCCCTTCCACGTGCAGAGCAGGTGTGGGGTCCTGCAGTGGAACTCTGCCAGATGCAGTCCCGGGACCCGTGGGCTGCCCCCCGGCTCTCTAGAGTCCTGAGGGACCACCACGCTGGTGCGCACCAGGCAGGAGCAGGGCCACAGTCAGGTTCCACCCCACAGAGACTGCACCCAGACGGCTACCCCTTCTCTCTAGTTAAACTCAGAGCTCTGTATAACCTCTGCTCATTAAAGAAGAATTGTTTTGCTTGTTCCCAGAATTCTAGATATTTCTTTTAATCTGCTGAGAAACATCGAAGGGATTGACAAATTGACACGACTGAAAAAACTCTTCTTGGTCAACAATAAAATTAATAAGATTGAGAACATCGGCACCCTGCATCAGCTGCAGATGCTGGAGCTGGGCTCAAACCGCATCCGGGTAGGTGCTGGTGGCACGGACAGCACAGGCTGCTGTCCCTCCCCCAGGCTGTGTGGGCTGAACAGGGCTGCAGGCAGCGCGTGTGGTTGGCTCTGTGGCTTGTCACGCTGTGGATTTTTCCAGCAAAGGAGGATTAGTGTCTTGAGGAAAACACTGATAGGAAGTCAGTGTGGATAAATCCTGTTTCCACACTAGGTGGCCCAGCCTGGCTCCTGCACACAGGTCCCAGCAGGCACTGCCTGACGTCCATGCCGAGCTGCCCAGAACACAGTGCTGGGTGGGCCCCTCCTGCCCAGACAGCTGTGTGCCTGGGACGCATCCCCCAGCAGGGTAGGGTCAGCACCTCTCCAGGGTCCACCTGACCTTGAGACTGGGAGGAGCACTGTGGTGTCCGTAGACAGAGCGGGCAGTGTCTTTGACAACTGTGAACAGCCCCGGGCATCTGTCGGGAATCCTGGACAGGTCACAGAGGGACCGTCGTGGGGGAGAGGAGGCAAGGGACTTGCCTGGGGCTGGGACAAGGAATTCTGTTGCCAGAGGTCCACGCAAGCCCACGCCTGGCGCCCTGATGGCACGGACGGGCCAAGAGCCTCTGCTTGCCCAGCTGAGGCCAGCACTCCCAGCCATCTCCACAAGGCTCTGGAAGCATCAGAGGATGCCTCACCCTGATGGCCAGGCAGGTGCAGACCAAGGGAGGTTGGTTTGAGCAGCCCAGGGGTCAGCGTTTCGCCAAGTGTCTCGCTGAAGAACTCCCAGGAGAAAGTGACTCAGAAATCGGCCTGCCCCTGCCTGTGGGAGTCCCCACTTGGTGCGTGTGAGCTCAGTGTGGTTATTGTCAGGTGAAACGTGCGGCTTGTTCTAGAGTGTGGTGAGCTGACCAGAGGGAAACTCAGCTATGCACAGTGCCCAGGCACCGGGGGAAGCAGACGGGACAGCCTGGTCCTGGCTTGGGAGGTGGAGGTGCACGGGTGCTGGCAGGACGTGTGGCTGCAGCGGGGGCAGCAGTGCGCAGCCTGGGAACAGTGCAGAGTGGACTCCGGATCCTGAAGTCCTAGGGTCAGAGCCCCCCGTGAAGGCCAAGGCTATTGTGAGCACAGAACCCGCTGGGCCTGCGAAGTCCTGTGTGCCAGGGGCTCTCAGGCTGTATCCTCACCCAGAGCTCTGACCACGTGGGGGTCAGGATCCTTCACCACTCTCCTGTGCCCGTGCCCGTGCCCGTGCCCTCACCCTGTTCTTTCATGCATGGGTTCGCGGGGAAGTCTGCAGAGCAGATATGGCCCAGGCATCTTCCCTCTCTGGTGAGCTTGGAGGTCTCCTTGCTCACCACTGCTCTGTCCTTTTCACAGGCAATTGAAAATATCGACACATTAACCAATCTGGAAAGTCTGTTTTTGGGGAAAAACAAAATCACTAAACTGCAGAACCTGGACGCACTTACCAACCTGACCGTCCTCAGCATGCAGGTACGGCTCCACACTTCCTGCAGGCCAGACCTGTGGCCCCAGCCCATTGTGGACCTCACTGTGTCCCACCAGCAGTGCTTTGCTTCCCTGTTGGTGACTGAGACCTTAGATCCCACAGACTTCACACACACACACATTCACACAGACTTCACACCCTGTTCTCACATGGTTCACACACAGACTTCACACTCAGACTTCACACACACATTCACACAGACTTCACACCCTGTTCTCACATGGTTCACATACAGTTCACACACAGACTTCACATATAGTTCACACACATGCAGACTTCACATACTTCATGCACACACATGCTTTGTATACACACTTCCACTGTATACACATACACTTCACATACACACACTTCCTGTCACACACTTTTTGTACACAGTTCACACACGTTTTTGGTAAGCATTTGTTTTATTTATTTGAAAGGCAGAGTTAGAGAAGGAGACAGAGAGAAATAAAGGGAGATTTTCCATCTGCTGGTTCACGTCCCACACCGCTGCAACAGCCAGGGAGAAGCCAGGAGCTTCTACTGAGCCTCCCACGCAGGTGCGGGGGCCCAAGCACTTGGACCATCTTCCACTGCTTTCCAGGCCATAACAGAGTGGGATCAGAAGTGAAGCAGCTGAGAATCGAACCAGCACCCATGTAGGATTCAGAGTTAGAGAGACACAGAGAGCGAAAGAGAGGTCTTCCATCTGCTGGTTCACTCCCCAAATGCCCTCAAGGGCCAGGCCAAAGCCAGGAGTCAGGAGTTTCATCCCGGTCTCCCACATGGGTGCAGGGGCCCAAGGACTTGGGCCATCTTCCACTGCTTTCCCAGATGCCGTGGGAAGAGCTGGGTCAGAAGTGGAGCAATGGGGGGCCGGTGCTGTGGCACAGTAGGTTAATCCTCCACCTGTGGTGCCAGCATCTCATATGGACGCCAGTTCTAGTCCCGGCTGCTCCTCTTCCGATCCAGCTCTCTGCTGTGGCCTGGGAAAGCAGTAGAATGTGGCCCAAGTCCTTGGGCCCCTGCACCCGCGTGGGAGACCTGGAAGAAGCTCCTGGCTCCTGGCTTCAGATCAGCGCAGCTCCAACTGTTGGCAGCCATCTGGGGAGTGAACCAACAGATGGAAGACCTCTCTCTCTCGCTCTCTCTCTCTCTGCCTCTCTTCTCTCTGTGTAACTCTGACTTTCAAATAAATGAAATAAATCTTTAAAGAAAATAAATAAATAAATATAGGACTTGAACCCATGCCCATATGGGATGCTGGTGTCACAGGCAGTGGCTTAACCTACTACACCGCAGTGCTGGCCCCACACTTCACACACTTCATACACACGTACTTTGTGTGCATACAACTCATGTACACACCTCATTCATGCCCCTCCACTCATACACAGGCACTTCACGTAAACCACATACACACACTCAGAAACACTTCACAAGGCCATACACACTCTTCACACACGTGCCATGTACAAACACTACATACACACACACACCTGCTGAACTGAAACGTTCCCAGGGAGTCCCAGGTGGCTTCAGCCGCAGGACCCTTTCAGCTGGTGGCGTGTGCTCTTGGCTCTCTCCTGGCGTCTGGCCAGGCGGTGGAAGCAGCGAGCACAGACCCGCAGACTCCCAGGGGCCTGTGCTGCCCCGTGGTGCTGAGTTCCTGGGAGCTTTCTTGCTGGAAGCAGCTCAGCGCGGTCAAGCTCGGGTGCACTGGGTCCTGGAGGCCGGCCGGCCCAGCCGTGGGCACGGAGAGCCGCTGTGACTGTCTGCGGCAGGTTGCCTGCCCACCGCCGGAAAACTCAGGCTGCGGTGGGTCCTGAAAAGCAGGAATGAACTTGTTTGAAAAGAATCATTTACTGCATGTGGGTGAAATGGTCGTTTTTCCATTCAGTTATTATTTGTAGCCATTGTCTTCCTACCAAATTCAGGTCTTTGAGCTTTCTACTTGTCAAACTTCTTACTTGATGAAGTATTAAGACTTTTTACTGTAATGCAAATCTAAAATGTTATCTCAAAAAGTGGAGACAGGAGACGGAGCAGGGTGGGGGGAGGGAGGAAAGGGACATCATGCTCTTAGTTGCATCTACAAATCTTTTTAAGAAAGTTTTTATTTAATGAATACAAATTTCATAGGTACAGCTTTAGGAATATAGTGGTCACATTGAATCCTAAAAACTAAAGATTAAGATAAAAAATAAATATTTTACAGATGGCTGTAAAAAGTAAACACCTTAAAAGTAAATATAATCAGCAATTTTGGAATTATTTTAAGTTTAATTAACTTGATTGATTTAAATGATTGAGGAATTATCAGAGTAAGGGCTGATGTTGTGGCCTAACACTGGCATCCCATACTGGGGTTCGGCCTGCTCTGCTTCCCCTCCACTTCCCTGCTGACGGCTTGGGAAAGCAGCTGAAGATGACCAAAGTGCCTGGGCTCCTGCCACCCCTGGGAGAGCCGGCTCCTGGCTTCAGCCTGGCCCAGTCCTGGCTGTTGCAGTCATTTGGGGAGTGAACCAGTGGATGGAAGATCTTTCTGTCTTTGTCTCTCCCTCTCTGTCTCACTCTGCCCTTCAAATAATTTTTTTTTTTTTTTTTTAAAGATTTAAAGCCTGGACACGAGCTGGGGCCCACATGGGATGCCAGCATCGCAGGCAGCAAGTTTACTTGCTACACCACGGTGCCAGCGCCTCAAATCTTTAAAAAAAAAAAAATTAATCCAAGTAAAGCTTCCCCCAGTGTATCTATAAAGCGTGAGTTCCCACACTCCGTGCGAGAGCCTTGGCTGGCAGTGGCGGCCCCCTCTGCACGTGCTGGCCCTGCCTGCCCCACCGCGCTCTGACCGCTGTCGGCTCTCCTCTTTGCAGAGCAACCGGCTGACCAAGATCGAGGGTCTGCAGAGCCTGGTGAACCTGCGCGAGCTGTACCTCAGCCACAACGGTATCGAGGTCATCGAGGGCCTGGACAACAACGTAAGCCGGCAGCCTCGCACTGCGGCTACGCGCTCGCTGCCCGCAGCCGCCTCACTGCCCGCGCGCGGCCGCCCCACTGCCCACGGCCGCCCCGCTGCCCGTGGCCGCCCCACTGCCCACGGCCGAGACACTGCCCACGGCCGCCCCGCTGCCCACGGCCGAGACACTGCCCACGGCCGCCTCACTGCCCACGGCCGCCTCACTGCCCACGGCCGCCCCACTGCCCACGGCCGCCCCGCTGCCCATGGCTGCCCCGCTGCCCACGGCCGCCCGACTGCCCACGGCCGCCTCACTGCCCGCGGCCGCCCGACTGCCCATGGCTGCCCCACTGCCCACGGCCACCTCACTGCCCACGGCCACCTCGTTCCCCATGGCCGCCTCACTTCCCACGGCCGCCCCACTGCCCGTGGCCGCCCCACGGCCACCCGACTGCCCGCGGCCGCCCCACTGCCTGCGGCTGCCCCACTGCCCACGGCCGGAAGGTCTCTAAGGAGCGCTGGCTGCCGGCAGAGCTGCAGTAGCCTTCCCACCTGAAACCCGCACGGCCCTCGGCCAGTCCCCTCCACCCGTGTGGCGTGGGCGTCAGCAGCAGCCTCCCGCACTGGCGCTTCCCAGGGCGGTGGTCACTGCCTGTCCAGCCAGCATGTGGTCATTTGGGAGGAGTTGAGAAACCCTAGGCTTGTAGATGCCCCTGTTCCACAAGGAACCTGGACACCAGCAGCTGTCCCCTCCTTCTGGGCCCTGGCCTCTGAGCTGCCTGTGTCGCTCCCGGCCACCACCACCACTCTGAGGGACGCATGGAGGACTGGCTGCTCGCCGGCCACCCCCAGCTCAGCCAGCTTTCCTGTGCAGTAGCCACACCAGCTAGAACACGTTTTTGCTCATTTATTTGTATTATTTTAAGATTTATTTATTTATTTATTTGAAAGGCAGCGTTAAAGAAAGAGATCTTCCCTTGCTCGCTCACTCCCCAGGTAGCTACAGTGGCCAGAGCTGGGCTGATTTAAAGCCAGGAGCTTCTTCTGAGTCCCCCATGTGGGTGCAGGGGCCAAGAACTAAGGCCATCCTCCACTGCTTTCCCAGGTGCATTAACAGGGAGCTGGATCAAAAGTGGAGCAGCCAAGACTCGAACTGACACCCATATGCGATGTCGGTGTTGCAGGCAGCAGCTGTGCCGCTGTGCCGCGGCGCTGCCCCTGCACTGGTCGGTGTAACTCTGGTCTTTCCTGGTACTGGAGATGCTGTTTCCGTGTCCCAGCAAGGGCTCCCCCAGATCTCATTTCAGCGACTTCTTCAGGGTATTTTGGAAAGGGTGGCGTGTGCCTGTGGAGAGTTGGTCACCTCCCTTCAGCTTTGGGACTGACTTGGAGTTGATGGAGCCAGCGGGGGGCCAGGTGCCCAGTGGCAGCCGCGCAGGGAGCAGCAGTGCGCGGCCCCTGGGAGCGCTCACGGCCCCGCTGCCACGCCAGAGCCTGGCACCGCTGGTTCCGAGAAGCCGCAGGTGTGGCAGGCAGGCAGCACAGGGGCTCGGGCCGAGTGTGGGCTTGGTGAGGCGCCGGGGTCGCTCAGCCGCTGAGACGGAGACGTGACCCAGTGTGCAGGCCTTCCTGTCTAGTTCTCGCAAACCAAGCAGGCCTTCCCCTGACTTCTTCCAGTCTCACCTCACAGATCTGGACCCTGCGTGCGGCAGGAGGTGGGGAAAGTGGCCCCTGCCGTGGCCCCTGCACCGGAAGCTCTTCCTCACCCAGCCTGCGTGCACCCTCCCCACGCTGTGCCACTGTCGCTTCTCTCTCCTTCTCAGCAGTTCTGATTGGTTTGCTTCTGGAAGGCCATGCCGAACCTTGTCCAGCTCTCCCTAAAAGACATGCACTGGTGTCGCGTGCGTGGCCGGCCCCTGGGCCACAGCCTGGGCGGTGCTGATGAGCCAGAGTCCATCTGCCACTAGCCCCCTGCCCCAGTGCTGCACCCTCCAGTGTGGACCCCGCGGGCTGGGAGCAGCTTTGTCCACCAGGGCTGGGCTTGCGGTGACCTTGAGCCCTCTGGAGCGGGGCCCTCCTGGCCCTGCTCTGCAGGTCTGTTTGGAAGGCCCCAGCGCCGTGACCCACGTGGCAGTGCCCACGGCACCAGCGCAGGTCGGGGGCCAGGGCCCCGGAGCTCTGAGGTCAGCCATGGTGCTTTTGCGTGCAGAGCTGCCAGTCAGGTGCTGTGGTGTGTGTCTCACTGGAGTGTCTCGTGACTCAGATCTGGAGTCAGGAACGCACTCACGAGTACAGGGGTCCTCTGTGAGTAGTGGGTGAGCAGCGGCAGAGAGGACGGGGCGCGCTCTGGCCAGCGGGGCTTGGCTTGGTCGCCGTCGTGCCAGCAGGCAGTGGGTCCTGACGGCCCCAGTGCTGCCTACAGCCATCTTGTGTGCGGTGTCGGATCCACGCCAGAGGAAGCTCTTGCCCAGGCCTAGCTGTGTGCACGTCCTGGGACAGGAGAGCCTGCCGGCAGTGTGGTGGCGCTGTGTGTGCCTGCAGCTGTGCCTCGCCACCGCCAGCTGTCCAGTCCCGTCTGCCCAGGGCTCGCTCGCCGCACACCCAGGCCCTCCTGTGCCCCCCCACTCAGTCAGGAGGGCAGGCCCTCGTCCCAGAGTTGCAGGCTTCCTCTCCCTCGGCTCGCGGCGGTTTGCAGCCTCACTCGCAGAGGAGAGGAGCGCGCTTGGAAGCCTCCGTGCTGTGCCTGTGCTCGCGGTCAGCGCTAAGCAGCCCCCCAGAGCCGCCTGCTCACGGGGTCCCAGGGGCCACAGATTGGGTCTCAGCCAGTGGTGGTGAGGACTGGGGACATGGCTGTGTCCCACAGTGCTGGCCGACCCTCGGCCACAGCCCCGCTCAACTGTGGTGATCCATGTATTTCCTTATCCCAGAACAAACTCACAATGTTGGACATTGCATCGAATAGAATCAAGAAGATTGAAAATGTCAGCCACCTTACAGAGCTGCAGGAATTCTGGGTAAGTCTGGGGCTCGCCGAGACGGAGGTGGTGTGCAGCTGGGATCCTGAGGCCCAGGGCTGCGCCGGCCAGGGGCAGGTGTGGAGCCCGCGTTGGCTGTGTCGGTGCCGCCTCAGCAGTGGGCCCCAGGCCGGCAGCCCCGCGGCAGCCAGAGCTTGTGAGCAGTGCACTGGGCGCAGGCCCAGCCGAGCTGCCGCCTGGCTGTGCCTGGCTGTGCCCCGTGGATGTGGGTGTGCTGGTACCGTCACAAAGTCAGGGAGAGGCGACAGGGTGAGAAGGGGCTCCCCGTCGCGACTCCATAAGGGTTGGGCTGGGGCCTTTGTCCTGCAGTGCCGCAGGCCGAGTGTGGCCCTCGATGCACTGGGGCTCACCGGGACCTCTGCTGGGTCCTGGCTGGGCCGCTGATCCCGCCCGTGTGTCACCTGGGCTCCCGGGCAGCTGTGTGCGGGAGGACTCAGAACTCGGGGGTGGGGCAGCCCTGCCCTGGAGGAAGCTGGGGCTGTGTGGGCACATCGCGGAGAGCAGGCACCAGAGAAGCCCAACACCGAGGAGCCGAACGGCGGGACTGAAGGCTTGAGGGGGCCTGGCCCAGGGAGGGGCCCTGAGAGTTAGGGAGCAGTGGAGGCAGCCAGTCCTGACGCGGTGTCCTGGACTCGGGCTCTTCTGTGAGCCCTGCCGAGGGACAGCATGGGGCTGGGGTGCTGAGACGTGGCCTCCACCCTCCGTGTGTGCCCAGCCCCCTCTCTGCAGGGAGCCCTCTGGTGCTGGCTGTCACCAGGGTAGCTCTCCCAAGGCTTCATCCCAGCCCGGGAGTGCTGTGCCTCCTCCAGGCAGGCGGCCCTGAGCACCTGGCACCCAGGCTCGGGGCCCCGCAGGTGGCTCTGGCTGAGTCGGGATCTCAGCCCCGTGGCCCCAGCTCCTCCAGGTGCTGCTCCCCTGGGCTGTGTCCACTGTGCAGTCAGCCCCGTGGGCTGGGCCCTGGCGTCCACTGGCCTGCAGGAAACACCCAGCCTCCATTGCAGCCGCGTCGGGGCGCCAGGGCCCCACGGGGTGGGTGGAAGGGTCTGGGGCTGTGGCCAGGGCTGCCCTGTCCTGACAGCTGCCCCGGGGCCCGTGTCCCCCAGATGAACGACAATCTCCTGGACAGCTGGAGCGACCTGGACGAGCTGAAGGGGGCCAGGAGCCTGGAGACGGTGTACCTGGAGCGGAACCCCCTGCAGAAGGACCCCCAGTACCGGCGCAAGGTCATGCTGGCCCTCCCCTCTGTGCGGCAGATCGACGCCACCTTCGTCAGGTTCTGAGGCCGCGGGCCCGCGGCTGCTCCCTCTGTCCTCGGAGAACTTCCCGGCCACGGCTTTTTAATCACCTGTTGCTCCTGCAGTCGTCACCACGTCGCGTCACAAACCCCGTGGCAATGAGAAGGCGCGGACGAGCACTGGCGTGGAGATGCCCCACTATTAAACCTTGCCACAGTCTGCTGTAGTCGTTGGGGTCGCGGGGGCAGTGGCCAGCTCACGTGTGCGACGCAGCTCAGGCGTGTGGCAGGCAGGGAGGGCCCTCAGGTCCTGGCTGTAGGCCTGACGCAGCTCAGAGCTGCTGGTCTCCTAGCACCGTGGATCCAGTTACGAAAAACCACGTTTTTTTAAAAAAACTTGGGTTAAACATCAGCCAGTCTCACGTGCTACACTCCCCAGAGCTCTCTCCAGACAGGTTGTGTGTGCACCCAGCACCCGGCTGACGGCAGGGCGCGCGTGTGCCCGGTGGGTCTTGCCTGCCCCGAGACAGGGCCCCGTCCTCACTGCCGGTGAAAGGGGCGTGGCCTGGAGCCTGGCTCTGAGACGCCGCCTGTGACATGGCCGTCCACACCTGCGGTTGTCACTTAATTTGAACGACAGGGAGAGAGCCAGGTTTCTCACCCAACAGCCTGGGCTGGGCCAGGCCGAAGCCGGGAGCCTGGAACTCAGCCCAGGCTGCAGGTGGGTCGCAGGGACCCAAGTCCTCCCTCAGGGCTCCGCCCAGGCGCCCCAGCAGCGTGACCCAGGTGGCACCATGTTGGCTTTTCTCCTAGTGAAATACACACGGAGCAAGTGCGCAGCTAGTGACTCCACTGCCGGGTCCCACGTGCCCACTGCCGTGCAGTTTGGGTCCTGGCCACTCTGACATCTGGTCTGGCCCCTGCTACTGCCCCTGGGAGGCCCCAGGTGCTTGGGCCGTGCACTCACGTGGCAGACCCGGAAGAAGCCCCTGGCTCCTGGCTTAGGCCTGGCCCAGCCTTGGCCTGTGGGGAGTGGACCAGCGGATGGAGGATCTCTCTCTGTCCCTCCCTCTGTGTACCTCTCCTTTCAAATAAAATAAATTTTTAAAAAGGAAAAAAAAAAAAAAAGACCCCTTGAGCTGCAGGTAACGAATATGTGGGGCTCAAGTGAGTTTCAAAAAACACAGAGAAGTGTGGAAGGGACTGGGACAAGTGCGTGACACAGCAGTCCCGACCCAAATGCCACCCGGCTTTCTGAGGCCCTCGTTAAATTCCCAAATACTGGGGGCACTCAGCCAGGAGGAGCCTGAGCCAGGTGGCGCCCAGAACCTGGGTGGGGACCCTGTTGGGGGTGGGGGAGCTACAGCACCCAGGGATGTGCAGCTGGGGGCCCGTGCTGCCCCTGCTGGCGTCGCCGAGAGCTGGTTGGAAATACCGCCCTCCGGGCGGGGTGAGCACAGAACCGACACGGCGGGCGAGAAAAGGGGTCCAGGTGGCCACAGGTACGCGGCGTGGGGTGGGTGTTGGGCCCCCCTCTGCTTCCAGCCGCGCACACGTGGGGCAGCAGCCGTGGCTGCAGTGCCTGGGGCCTGGATGCAGGTCCGAGCGCCTGGTTCCGTCCTGGCCCGGCCCTGCCTGCTTTCACAGAGCAGGCTCAGAGTTGGAAAGCTGAGCTCCGGCAGAAACGTCACGGGCGCAGGGTGGGGGTGCTGCTGCGAATCGACAGTCCTACCTAAACCGGAAACAGGACGGAGCGCTGGAAGAGCAGAGCCCACCCTAAAGAAGTGAAGACTGGAAGGGTCCCAGGGAGGCAGCAGGGGGGGCCTGGCAGATGGGGAGTGGTCTGCAGGACTTCCTGGGACGCAGGGCAGCTCGGCTGGAGCCCAGTCCCCCAGTCTGGGGTGAAGTGCTGTGTCCACTCCACAACGAAGTTCCCAAACCAGTAGGGGTGGGTGTGTGCACCCCCACACTGGGAGACCCGAGCTGATGCCCAAACCTAAGCTGTGGGCGTTCAGGAAGCAGCCAGCAGATGGGAGGCGCCCCCCGCCTTTCTCTGCCTTCCAAATAAAGTGACATCAAATAATGAAACTAGAAAGGAACGAGTTCGCCTGAAAAACTCAACACGAGACAGAAATTCCTAGAAAGAAAAAAGCTGCTGTGTGCCCGGACTGGGGGCGCCCTGGAGCTAAGTGCTGAGCCTGTGGAGGGCTGGGGGCTGGTCAGCTCCCTCCGGGACGAGGGCTGTGCCAGCAGGGCTGTGATCGCGGTGGGGACTGGGGCAGGGGGCGGCCGGGATCAAGGTGGGGGCCCTGCACAACCCCGGGAGTGGCCGCTGAGTTGGCCCCACTCAGCACCGACCTAGTCTTGTGTGTCCCCCACCCCCCGGTGAACAGAGCTCTCCAGCTGACCCCGGGATCTCAGCCAACATGGTACAGGGAGGCCCTGCCCGACCCCACTGCCCTCTGGGACAGGTGAAGCCTGAACAGGGCCCCGAGCACGCCCCGCCCCGCCCCGCCCCGCCCCGCCCTAGCCCCAGCCTTTGCTGAGACAACTGGGCCAGACTGGAACCCATCCCAGAGCCTGGGCATGGGGGAGGAGGAGGGTATGGAGCGAGCACCCCCAGCCCCCCTCCCCCGCTAACCCTAAGAACCTGGAGCAAGCACTGCTGGACCCTTTGTGGCCGCTGTGCCGGGTCCCTTCTGCAGAGGGCCGGAGGAGGGCCCTGCCCCGGCTCTGGGAGCTGCCAGGGCACTGCAGACTCAGGAGTCCTCCGGGGATCCCCAGCCTGGCGACCAGATCGCCACACAGTGTGGGCCGAGGAGGGCTGTCGGGACTCACACCTCTGCCTCTGTGGGGCCTGGGTGCCTCCACTCAAACCCCAGCTCCTCCAGCCACAGGCCCCTCGCGCTCTGCCCCACGTTGCTGACCTGTTTGCCTGAGACAGTGGTGCAAGGAGCAGGGGAAGGAATCCGGGACATGGGCAGGCCCAGGACCAGGAAGGCACAGAGCCTGGGAACCGAGCTTGGTTCCTGAAGGCACACAGGAAGCCAGGCTCTAGGGGGGTCGGCGGTGCCCCAGGGCCCTGCCTCCAGGTACAGGAGGGAGGGGCTGCCCTCCACACCCAGAGAGGGGCGCACTCGGGGCCTCAGGGCCTGGGGTGCTCACTGACAGACGCACAGATGGACAGATGCTAGGCTGCGTCCCTAGGGTGGTGCTGGGGCCTGGCCCGGGCCTGTGGCTGCCAGTTTGTCACCTCACCTGCCGGAGGTGCGTGCTGTGGGTCCAGGGCTCAGGTGTCCCCCACCTGACCTACCCCAGCCACGGTGAGGTGCAGCAGTGGGAAGGTGCAGCACTGAGCTGACAAGGGCGTCCACGGAGCTCAGCCCCTCCCTTCACCTGGGCCCAGAGCCTTTGAGGGATGTTCCCCAGCCCCCTCATGACACGGGGCAGGGATCCGGTGGCTGCCCACAGGACCCCCGGGGAGGACAGAGCTGGGGCTGGGGCCTCCCAGCTCCAGGCAGGGGATCCAGGAAGATGGGGGCTGTGGGATACAGTGTGAAGCACAGAAAGGCCCCCGGCCCGACACGGCCCCCATGACACCTGTGCGCTCACCTGGGGTGAGGTGCACAATGGCCCAGGAGCCAGGGCCACACGGGCCTTCTACGGCATTTGCCCGACACGTGCGATGGTTGGGAGCTGCCGGAAAGGAGCCAAAGCTGGTGCACTTCAGAGTTAGGGCGATGGTGAGGGTCAGGGCCAGGGCTGGGTGAGGGTTACCCAGGGCTGCGGGCAGGGCAGCCCCATTCTGGGCCTTAGCGCCCGCCAGACCTGGGTGGCAGGAAGCAAGGCGGTCCCCGTCCAGCGCAGACGCGCCCTGGACATCAGGCGTGTGTCCCGATCCACTGCCCCTGTGCCCTTTGAGCTGTCCGTGCAGCCCGCAGAGCAACAGCGGCGACAAGGGCCCTGGGTTTCCACCGCCTGGGGAGACTTCCACCCACCCACCCTGCACCGACTGGGATTCCTTCTGCCAGCAGTCTGGCCATGGCATCGCTCTGTCCAGTGCGTTGTCTGTAGGCCACTGTTCCCATTGTCTTTCCTCTTGTTGCTTTTTTTTTTTTTAATCTTTTTTTTTTTTTTTTTTTTGACAGGCAGAGTGGACAGTGAGAGAGAGAGACAGAGAGAAAGGTCTTCCTTTTTGCCATTGGTTCACCCTCCAATGGCCGCTGCGGCCGGCGCACCGCGCTGATCCTATGGCAGGAGCCAGGTGCTTCTCCTGGTCTCCCATGGGGTGCAGGGCCCAAGCACTTGGGCCATCCTCCACTGCACTCCCTGGCCACAGCAGAGAGCTGGCCTGGAAGAGGGGCAACCGGGACAGAATCCGGCGCCCCGACCAGGACTAGAACCTGGTGTGCCAGCGCCGCAAGGCGGAGGATTAGCCCAGTGAGCCACGGCGCCGGCCTCCTCTTGTTGCTTTTTAAAAATGTACTTAAGGGGTCGGTTCTGTGGCAATGCAGGTTAAGCTGCTACCTGCAGCACCGGCATCCCATATAGACACCGGTTCAATTCCTGGCTGCTCCACTTCTGATCCAGCAGAGGATAGCCAAGTCCTTGGGCCCCTGCACCTGTACAGGAGACCCAGAAGCGGCTCCTGGCTCCTGGCTTCGAATCAGCCCAGCTCTGGCCATAGCAGCTGTTTGGGGGAATCTCTCTGTGTCTCCCTCCTCTCTAGCTCTGCCTTTCAAATAAAATACATAAATCTTTTAAAAAAATGTACTTGAGAGACAGAAAGCAAGCTACCTGTCACCCACTGGCTCACTCCCCAAATGTCCACAGCAGCTGGGGCTCGGCCAGGCCGAAGGCAGGGGTTCAGTCCAGGTCTCCCATGCGGCTGGCGTCATCGCCACTGCCTCACGGGGTCTGCAGCAGCAGGAAGCTGGAGTCGGCCATCGAAGCCCAGCCCTCTGGTATGGGAGGCAGAGTCTCAGCCAGAGGCTCGACTGCTGGGTGGAGTCAAGGAGACAGAGAGGTCCTCCACCTGCTGGGTCACTCCCCGAATGGCAGAAACAGCCGGGGCCAGGAGCCAGGAACTTTGCCAGGTCTCCCAGGCGGGTGCAGGGGCCCAAGCACTTGGGCCATCTTCCACTACTTTCCCAGGCCACAGCAGAGCGGGATTGGAAGTGGAGCAGCCGGGATTCGAACTGGCGCCCATATGGGAGGCCG